TTTTTTTTTAGGAATAATAAATTAACTACACATTTTTAATAAATCCATATAATAATATATTTTTTGTAACACAGATGCTCTTGTGCAGAAGGACTTTCAGTTGGAGGTGCAGATCATGAAGCGTTTGCGTCACAGGCACCTGATTTCTCTCTTTGCCGTCTGCACTTCCTCCGCCCCATTTTACATCATCACCGAACTAATAGAGAAGGGAGACCTGCTTAAGTTCCTCTTAAAAAGTCAGTCACTGTCACTTGGATGTGTATGATTGAAGTCTTACATTTTAGGGAATGTGCCACTAATATTAATATTATGTAATTATGCTGTCTCACTTTCTCTCTCACTTCTTAACTTGATCTGCCTTTTATGTATCACCCTCCATCACTCAGATCCAGAGGGTAGTGCATTGGACATGGAGTCTCTGATCGACATGGCAGCTCAAGTGGCAGATGGGATGGCATACTTAGAGACACATAACAGTATTCATAGAGACCTTGCAGCAAGAAATGTTCTAGTCGGGGAGGGATATGTCTGCAAAATTGCTGATTTTGGCCTAGCTCGAGTCATTAAGGTGAGCTAAAATGATATGCTATATGTTTCTTGTTTTGTGGTACACATACTATGTAAAAATAAATGTAAATTCTAATTTTAATGCACATTATTTGCTGATGCTGGCTTATATGCCAATATGCAAACAAAGTAGAGTAGTACTGGCACCTTATTTCATCAACTTTAAGTACTGCATCCTAGAAATTACTCTTTAATTACTTTAATTTTCATCCTGGTTTATGGAAACATCAGTAAGGAACAGTGTTTGCAACATAGGATGCACCTGATCCTGTGAAATGAATTGACATTTCTTTGCTATATATTATGATACAGTGCACTCATCAGATCGAACCAATCCTATGGTTGATTTTACGTCATTTAAAAGTGCTCTTCATGACCAGAGAGGAAGTTGTCTTTTAACATGATGCTCTGTCAGATTTTAGTCTTAGGTAGTGCAGCATCCAGTAATAAGATTTTTTTCATTCATATCTAGGAGCCTGTTTATGTATCTGATGACAAGAAAATCCCATATAAATGGACCGCGCCTGAGGCTATCGGTCATGGCCGTTACTCAAGCAAATCTGATGTCTGGTCATTTGGGATTCTCCTTTATGAGATTGTCACATATGGAGCAATACCTTATCCAGGTCAGTTTCAAGATGCTAACTGTTGTATTGTTTTTCATTTTGAGATTGAATATTTATCATTTATACTATTTATAATTTATAAATCATTAATATGTAATTACTAAAATATTTTATACTGTATAAATTACAAAAATATTTATAGTTGACATTTTTATCTTAAGCCTTACAATATTCTTATAATTGTCAATTAAGCCTTGTACCTTCTTTTGTAGGTGTCCGTAATTGTGATGTGTATGATCTCGTCACACGAGACAACTATAGAATGCCTTCACCATCTAATTGTCCAGAGGTTATTTATAACATCATGCGATCTTGCTGGAGAGCAGAGCCAGAGGACCGTCCGACTTTTAAGATTCTGAGGCATGAACTAGACAACTATCAAGGCAAGTAGGGGGACTTGGGTAAATTGGACAGTTAGATTCCACCCCTTCCAAACATCCTGAAGTCTTAAACTCTTATATAGTAAAACAAGACTGACCTTGAACAATGCTTAAAGACAGGTGCATCATACAATCATCTTTGATGGATTAGATGGACTGTAGATTAGTCCACCATATCAGTTTTCAGATAATGAGGAAGAGGCATGCATGAAGCACTTTTTAAAATGTATTTGTGTTCAAAGGAATTATTGACAATTTAATGAGACATATGCTCTTGTTGTTGTTGTTGTTGTTGTTGTTGTTGTTGTTTTTGTAATAAATTTTGGTCTTAGGTAGAGTAGATTGTACTGATAGAAGTCCGGGAAAAAAATGAAAAAATAACTTTTAAATCTGTAATTGACAATCAGTTCAATTCAGGGGCATTAAAATATAAATTAAAATGTCTGTTTTATTATTAACATGATTTTGGAAAAAAAAAATTGGATGTATACATTTTAAATGTTTTTTCTTCTTAAATCTTTAATGCAAATGTGAATATTTATCATACACATTAAATTATAATATTCAATATAAAGCTAGATGAATGCTATAAATCAACATTTAAGACATGCTGCTTCATGTTGATTTGAATATGTTAAAGATTGTGCTGTACTGACTGAACTATGTATATTGTATTGATGTACTACGTATTGTTAATGTTTGTTTTCCTCACAACTTACATCTTACATTGCCAAAAAAAAAAAAAACTTCCAAGAAAGAAAATATGCCAAGTCAGACACATAAATATGTCAGAATTCCTTTGTTTAAAAATGTTCTTCATTACTTTTTATTTAACATTTCTATCCCAAGTGACACAGCAATGGCATAACATAAGAAAATAGTAAGGATAGGGCAGGATTGCAATCATATACGACTTTTTATTAACATATCTGCAAATTCAAAGGTTTTTGGACTTATTTAGATAACAGTGTTTGTTTTGGCAAATGTAATATTCTAAATCGATGCAGCTGGTAAATGAGCTGATCCATAAACCTAGTTACTTGTCGCAATAGATGAATCAGGCCTTTACAATGTGTAATGTCACCAGCAGATGGCGACACACCATTATTTCAGTGGTAAGCTGTTGCTTGCATCCAAGAAAACTATTTTTTATTCAGTTTTATTTAGTGGCATGTCATTTACTCATAACATGGATATGATAAAGCACTAAACAGCATAAAAAAATTATTTCAGAACATGTTTATCAAATTTATATGCTTATGTCATGAGGGCTAATAATGTAGACTTATCCATAAACACTGCCACCTTCATGCTGTAACTACAACAACAAACACAATATACCTCTATGGAGGCTTTTCTAGGTTTCACATACAAATAAGCTGTTTTCTGACAGTAATGACAAGACAAGAACTGCTGATGTATGGGATCATATTCGTCACTGTCATTATCATCAACAGAGACAGGGTCATTCCTGTTATTCCTTTTAGCATAACAGGAATTAATTAATTATATGTCTGCACAAGCATAATTAAAATATCAAATAAATGCTATTTTGTAAACCTTAACAAATAGTTAATCGCTTAATGTAACAAGTATTCAGCTTTGCTTCAAGTCGCTCAGAGTAGTACTGTGATGATGGTGTTATGGTGACATGATCTCTTCCCGGGAAAGCTCCTCTAGTTCCCCGCGTGTGAGTGATTTATGGTCAGCCATGCAGCAGGAGGAGGTTCACGGAGCTGCTCATGCTGTCAGAGCGTGATCAGCGCTGGATCTGACCATCGATCTGCTCCCGTCACTCATTTGCCCTGGAAAACAGCTGTTTTTCACTTCACTGTACAATCGATACGTTTGATCTTAGCATGCAAACCGTCTAGCTTATAGTATAAACATTTTCACGTAAGGTGATTACACTAACCATTTAGGTTAACTAGTTTCAAGTAGGCAACTCCAATATGCGATTAATCGTTTAAACAATTAGTTATTAGGGCCTCTATATTGGATCCAGGGCCAGTCTTGGTACTTAAAACTGCACTTTTCAAAATAACCTGGTCAAAGTTCACCTGAGGTAACTCTAAATCACAAAATATGACAACAATAGTCTCAAGTATTACATGACCTCAAGTTCATATGCTTGCATTAAATATTAGCAGGAGCTTCCTACATCAATTTAGCACTCTATGGAATTTTATTAAAAGGAGCAAAAATAGCAAAATACTAAGCTTATGTCAACAGATGTCAGTGTACCGTATAGGCCTATATCATTATTTTTTATATTTTGCATTTGCCTGGTGATGTAATTGTTTTGTGCCGTTATCGTTTACGTCTATCACTTCTGTGCACTTCTATCAGTTGTGCACTTCAACAACCTGTTGTGGTTTTGGATCTTAAAAAAAAAAAAATAGGTCAGCCACTCTGCATGGCTTCCCCGGGCAGCAGCACCCTGTCTGATGTGTGCCAGTATGCCACATTGTTAACCACATGGGTGAGTATCAACACTTCTGAGGGCAACAAATAACCAGGCAGTTTATATTACCTTACCATGTTGTCGTCATTCAGTGTAACGTTATTCTCAAAGATGATAAAGACACCAAAAGCATATAAAATAACAGTTTATTAAAGAAACCGCCAGAAGGTAATCCAAACAACAAGCCAAGCTATAGAACAGTGTGCGTTGCACAAACAACACCGGACAACTAAAAACAAACAAAAGAGCAACTTAAATGCAGGGCAAACAAGGGAAATAATGACAAACACCTGTTCTGATCAAATGAATCACCATGACAACTAATAAGTGGCGGGAAACTATACAAAGGAAGACAGGACTAATGGATACAAACTAAAAGTCCATAAAAACTAAAAACAAAAAACAAAGACCAAAATAATGAAGTATGTGACACAATGGATGGAGATAATATTAACAGGGTTGGAAATGTCTGTATTTATGAATATAGCTGCAGCTTGCATGGTGCTATTTTGCAAAATTGTATACTGTCAATTGAGGTCAACCACAAATAGACCCACTAACCTCTGTAACTCTGGCACCAAGCCCGTTTTTACAATGTTGTGGGTGCAGTGTGGGTAACTGCAGCAGCCTTGTTTTGAGTTTTTCAACAGTGCTATCATGTGGGTGTCATTTTCAGGTTTAAACCTGTCTAATTTAACCTAAATGTTAAAGTAACCTTCTTTTTCTTTGATTCCCCCCCTTTTAATATAAAGTGTGAGTAAGGAATATAAGTAAGGAACCTAATTAATATGGTAAGTATTCTTTTGCATGTGTTGGATGATTTTGGGAGTGGAGTTATATAGCTGTACTTTAGGAGTAATTAAAAAATACATTCATAAATTATGTAAATGTCTATTTTGAGAAATGTCTCAGTAAGTCCCTAATATTTTTTTTTATGTTAATCATTTGAGGAATGTTCGTAATTTATATTTTGATGTTTTTGCATTTACAGAAACTTTGTGTTCCCCTGAGAAACTCTGCATTCACTCACAAAACCTTTTGTCTCTCACAAAAGTTTTGCATTGCCCCAAGAAACTTTGTGTTCACTTTCAAAAGTATTGTGTTTCCTTGAGAAGGTTTGAAAAGCATCAAAATATAATTTTTCCTTCTTCATATTATTTCCATCACCATTTTAAAGAGCAAACACAGTTTCTCTAGGCCCAGGGAATATTTGGGGGAAAAAAATTTCACAGTAGGTTAAAGGGATACTCCACCCCAAAATGAAAATTTTGTCATTAATCACTTACCCCCAAGTCGTTCCAAACCCGTAAAAGCTTCGTTCGTCTTCAAAGATGGACTATTCTGACGATGTCTTTCATACTTTTCTGGACCTTGAAAGTGCAATTTACTTGGCAGTCAATGGGACAGTCACAAGCCTCCCAGTTTTCATCCAAAATATCTTAAATTGTGTTCCGAAGACGAACAAAGCTTTTACGGGTTTGGAACGACATGGGGGTAAGTGATAATGACAAAATTTTCTTTCAGATATTTCTTCAAAATATCTTCTTTTGTGTTCTACTAAAGAAAGTCATACAGAGTTGAAACGACATGAAGGTGAGAAAATTACAGAATTTTCACTTTTGGGTGAACAATCATTTTAATAATGATGTATATAATTACAGATACAATAACCTGTATATAAAATTCTTTTAAATGTCCAAAGGATGTATTTTTGTTTAATTACAGGGGGCACATTCTCTGCGTATTTTAGCCAGTTTAATATTTAAAATGTAAATTTTTTTTTTTTTAATTATTCATTATTTTGTACCTGTTTCTCCTGTCCCCCTATTTTATTTTCTTCTCACCATTCACCTTTATACAGAATAACCTTTAATGCAAGGCAGGACTGTCAACAGATGAACTGCATGCTTTACCCAGTGGCTCCTCCTATTCAAGACTCTTTAGCAGGCATGTCACATAACGCGGGTCTTTCTGAAATAGTCCTGTTTTTCTCACCAGGAGAATATAGGTCAAAGTGGACAGATGGCTTGCAGGTTTTTCTCTAACCTCAAAGACCTGTGGGTTGAACTTTGCAGAGATTATTATGGAAATAATGAAAATACAGAAAGGCAACAAGAACACAATCTACAGACAGTATGCTTAATAAACAGTGTACTTTGTTAATAAAACTGTAGCATCCATGTGTACACGTATAAGCTCATATCTTGTGCAAAGAATTTCCGCTGGCATTTGCCAGGGCTGGAAAATATTGTATCAGCGCATAAGCATCCCAGCCTTTCCTTCATCCCAGTGTTTTTCTCAAATGGTCAAGAAAGCATATGGGTGTTCCTCAGGCTGGGACCTTCAGCTCCTTAGCGAATAGCTTGTCACTTCTTGAGCCTGAAGCAAAGGAGGGGTTTGATATAAAGCTACCTCATCTGTGTTTGGATATGCTCAAGGAGTCCAGGCTTTCCCTTCTTCACAATATTTAAAAAGCATTTTTTTCTGGAACATATACACCGCCCTTGGACTTTAATGATTTTTACACATGACAGACAGCCTACAAAAAGGCAAGATCCACTTAAAGATAACATCAAGACATAATGCATGGACTTTAAAACAACCTAATCATAATCGACACATTTCTAATCATATATCTTTTTGTTAGGAATATAAACAACAATGTTCTTGTTTTTATATTTGAAGAAATGTTAAACACTTAAAAACTTTAAGCAGACTTCTCACACTTGTGTGTGTATGTCTATATATATATATATATAAACTGACCTAGATATGTATAATACGTTGACATACTAACCAAACAGGTCACTGAGAAAGCAGCATTTGTCCAGGACTTTTTGAGTTGTGTTGAGTCGTTTTTCATAAATGTACTTTGTAGCTTGTTACTGTGTTTTGTTTTACAGTGGATGAAGTTTAGCAGGGGAATATTTACAACTATGAGGGCTGGTTTTCCTCTTCTTCTTTATTTCTCTTTCTCTTAGTCCAGCTTTCTGTCTCTTCTTCTTTCATTCTTATGCCTCTCATTCTTTCTTCTTTCTCCCTAATACACACCTGCCCACCACATACAGCAATTCACAGAGAAAAGCATTCCTTTTGGTCTTTGAAAAATGCCTGGAGAACTGACATGAATCTTTATAGAAGAACGACACCATCACCTTTTCTGTTTTCTGTTGTATCTTCAAATCCAGACCACTCTGTTCATGTACTAACCTTTCTCAACCTTTGCTCAAATGGCGTTCAAGACCAATTTCATGTTGACTCAGTGAGGGATTAGTGTTCAAGACTAGTCTTGTGCTTAAGGGAGCCTTAACAAAAAAAGCCTGTTATGTGTCTAAGAAAAGAAAGAGTCATGCAGGAGACTGCAGAGCTGTTGAGAAGCATTGTATTCTGCATCAAAACAAGAGCACCAGTATAGACAAGATCAAGCGATACATTTCTGGCTGGCTATATAGAGCAAAGTTCATTTCCATAATTAGCACTGTCCAGCTATGATCGCATGCTATCTTCTCTCAGAGTGTAGTGTGGATTTTATTTTTAGAGGTGGAACAGTATTTTGGTAGAGATTATCAGACACACCTTGAAGATAAAGAGTATGACAAAGATTTGTCAGTCAAACAGGAATTATGTCAAATCACACAAAAATGACAGCTATTATTAGCCCTTGTGAATTTCCGTCACGCACACATAACAAACATAACAACTGTTTTTCACTCTTTCTGCAAGTTACTGTACATCGATATCAAAATAGTATGTGGCGACAAGTGACTGCTTATATGTGTATGTCACTGAATTATTCATTTGACTGATTCATTCAGGAATAAAAGAGTGAGTGATTCATTGAATTATTCACTCAACTGGTGAGGTAAAGGCCAATGTATACTTTTGATTATGATTATTTATGCTTATGCTAGTTTATACAGCTGAACGTTTAGCCTTTCAAAGATAGTGGGCGCACACACAATTACAATGTCTTTATACTCATTTAAACTTCTTATTCTATCTCTTCCATTACTTTTTTGACTGTACATACCCTAGCAAAAACAGAAGTCTACTTCGTCTAAGTCTGCTTCATATTACTGGCTTCCGCGACCCTATAGAGGACAAGCATATTCTGTTTACAATCTGAGCAAAACTGGGACAAAAGTCCTTTCTTTGACTTTTGACACACATGTGATTCATTTACAATCAACATGTTTGTTTTATGTGGAATCAACATGTCTTGTCTTTTTTAAAGCATGATAAGAGTTTGTGGTTTTTCCTCATGTGGGACTTTGACCATTTTTTCACAGATATGTTTTTGCTATCATGTTTATGTGGCTCTGATGAGGATATTTGTTCCCTGACCATAAAATAAAGCTTGTTCAGCACTGACCTTAACTCCTCCTTCTTTGCTATGTTTCCAGGTTCCAAAGAACACCCCACTTTCCAAGCATTTGGTTCTGTCATATTTACACATAAAAGCTGACCATGACCACCGTAAATGCCCGTGTGTCTCCTTGCTCGGAATGAGTTTTATCGGAGTAAGTGCAGTACTATTTTTAGCTCTTCTCTGTTTAACCAGCTACAGGACACGTGTTATTCTGACTATCTGTGGTTTCCCAAAGCTCTGTTTGTTTCTCAGGAATGACCTTGTACCTGAATGTACAGCACACTATTCCAATTTTAGCCTTATCAACAGACATAGTCATTGACTAATTTGTTGACCAAATAAAAACATCAGTCCCAATTTTGTGAATTGCCAGAAATAAACCTAATTTCATTGCTTAAACTCTACTGAGTACTAAAAACATGTAAATAAATGTAATATATAAACCAAAAATGTTTAATATTACATTTAAAGGATCTCTGAATCTTTACTAAAGTTACAGAAGGACTAAAAAAATGTTTTTTAATAAAACGCATGCCTAAGAGGATTTACTCAGTGGGGCTGTGGTCGTTTGAAGTAGCTTTCTTCAGATTCTGTGAACGTGTTTCTGTATGTGATTGTTTTTGTTTGCAGGCATCTGCCCGACAGACAAAATGAAGGCAGTTAATAGTCTTTCTGATAACTTAATGGAACCAAAGCAAAGACAAGTGACTGTCTGGGTGACCAAATCCAAGCACCAAGGTATAGTATGAGTTTAACTGAGATCTGTCGATCTAAATAGTTGTACATTTAGCCCTACTGACAGCAAGACCATGTCTTTCTATCTAAATACAGATTTAGGGCCAATGAGCGATGGTTGGACAATAAATGTGGTTTTAAAGAGACCGACATCCAGGGGAACCTCTTCCAAACGGCAAAGCCTTGCTGATCGTGAGGTGAAGTAGACACCTGCACAAGAGTAGTGTATGAGTATGTGAATGTGCTGTTTAAAAGTGCTGCTCCAATAATAGGCTTCTAGTTTTTTTTTTAATTCAAGTGCATAGGATTGTAAGGATTTTTAGTATTATTTTTCTGCCGTAAAACTGATCGTGCAGACCAAACAGTAAGGCCTAGAGATGTGAAACTTGGCCAGATGGTAGAGCTCAATTTGGGAAGAGACTGGCAAAGACTCACCCCAATGCTAAATAATTGCAAAATAATACGTAATGTCTTTTTTCATGTGTTTAAATGCCTTAAAGTGCCACGTTTTTTTTTTTTTTTTTTTACTTGGTTACTTGCAGCATTGTTTAGAGATCTATAGGTCTTTTAATGCTAGAGAAGGACAAATTATTTTTAGTTTATACACTACCATTCAGAAGTTTGGGGTTATCAAGTCTCTTATGTTCACCAGGGCAGCATTAGCTTGATTAAAAATATAGTAAAAACAAGAACATTGTAAAATATTATTACAGTTTAAAAGAAGTTTGCTCTGTTTGAATATATCTTCAAATATAATTTATTTCTGTGATGCAAAGCTGAATTTTCAGCATCATTACCCAGTCTTCAGTGTCAAATGATTTTTAAACAAATATTTTAATATGATTTGCTGTTCAAGAAACATTTATTATAATTAGTGTTGAAAACAGTTGTGCTGCTTAAAATTTTTTGTAGACACCACAATACATTTTTTCAGGATTATTTGATCTATTTACAGTGGTGTGAAAAAGTGTTGGCCCCCTTCCTGATTTCTTTTTTTTTTTGCATGTTTGTCACACTTTAATGTTTCAGATCATCAAACAAATTTAAATATTAGTAAAAGATAACACAAGTGAACACAACATGCAGTTTTTAAATGAAGGTTTTTATTATTAAGGGAAAACAAAATCCAAAACTACATGGCCCTGTGTGAAGAAGTGTTTGCCCCCTAAACCTAATAACTGGTTGGGCCACCCTTAGCAGCAACAACTGCAATCAAGCATTTGCGATAACTTGCAATGAGTCTGTTACAGCGCTGTGGAGGAATTTAGGTCCACTCATCTATGCAGAATTGTTGTAATTCGGCCACATTGGAGGGGTGTGATAAACCACAGTTTTAACAGGGGGGCAAACACTTTTTCACACAGGGCCATGAAGTTTTGGATTTTGTTTTCCCTTAATAATAAAAACCTTCATTTAAAAACTGCATGTTGTGTTTACTTGTGTTATCTTTGACTAATATTTACATTTGTTTGATGATCTGAAACATTAAAGTGTGACAAACATGCAAAAAAATAAGAAATCAGGAAGGGGGCCAACACTTTTTCACACCACTGTATATAAAGTTCGAAAGAGCAGTGTTTGTTTGAAATGTGATTTCTTGTAACATTACAACTCAATCACTCATCCTTTCTGAATACATTTTTTCATTTAAAAAAAAATTAATTAAAAAAATTCTTACTGACCCCAAAATTTTGAACAGTAGTGTAAATATACTGTATAGCATCCATATAGCCAAGCGTTGCATTTATTCTGCCTCATTTTACACAAGGCCTGACCCCATCAACAGTCTGAGACAAAGTACTCCTGAAAGAACGAATTGGAGAAATTGCAGCTAAAAATATGTTGGCTTACCTTGCCGTTAAAAGATCCAAATATTTAAGAGAGCCATGGTTTGTTTGCTTTTTTTTCATGCACATCAGCTGGACCAACCTAAACTGTAATGTGTGTTTTGACAAATAATACTGTTAGAATTAATTGTCAAGATTAATTTGACATGGCATTGAAAGTTTTGGAGAGCTTTTACCTTCCAAATACATAGAAACATTTTCTATTGGCTACATAGAAAACAGCCAATATGGCAACTGAGTAAACTGATTAGTCATTTACAGATTTGGACATCCCTCAATTCTGGCCATAAAAAGTACATTAAATGTATTTTCATCTTCAATAAACTACCAATCACCGAACCTGTCACAGTCTTTTAGTTGGGACCTGTTGCTGCGAACAAAGGAGAAATCATGTCGGAGTCAGCATGCCACAAAGAGGCTTTTCCATGTATCTAGCCAACCATCAGAACTTAGTGACCTGGAAAATTAATGTACACATGGGAACAAAGCTGTACAACGTCATCTCTACTGAGCAATTTTCCATATTGACTGTTTCCCATATTCACTGTCTGTATGTTTGGTCTACCACCCACACTGCTCATTTTGAAGTCCACAGGCACTATGTTCTGTCCCTTTTGGTGTACACAAACCATGTCAAAGTATGAAATAGGTGTCGTCTGTTCAGAACGCAATGCACTAGTTTAACAAAATGTCTTTAAAATGCTTTATTCCTCTCGAGAGCACTTCAAACCTGTCTTTATTCCTGGACCTGCTGCTCACCCTATTCAAAGGGATGCTGAGCTCAAAGCATTTATTTGATTAAAACAACTTTTCCAAAAATCATTTAACGGTTACCTTTTTTTTGTGGATCATTTCTGTATGAGAACTGACATTTCACTCAAGAGCAGTTGTGACATTCTGTTACTATCCAAGAGTCCTGTTTGTCTCCTTACCAAAGTCCATTTTGAATGCAGAGGCACTGAATTTAGCTTCAGCATGCTTGTTATATAATCAAATCATTCTTATATATGAAATGAATATAATGCAGAAGGGGGCGCTTTTCCTTCACCGCACACTCGGAACACAGACAAATTAGTACATGATGATACACACGTACACAATTCCCCATAACCATCACCATTTGTCTGATGAAGAGCCTGCATGCTCGAAACGTCACACACGCTATGCGACCGTTCTTTTAAAATACATTTTTGATACTTTTGGAGCTTTGGTGTTGCCGACTTTACATTTAAAAAAAAAAATGTCCATAATCATGTCATACATCAAAATAACTATGTGCAGATAAATTGAGAATAGTATCTCCTCTCAAAACTTAATTTTAGAGTAAAAAGGGCAGAATTTGACATTTTAGCATTTGATTATTGCTGCGCTTTTTCTGAAATGCAGCTTTCTGTGAACTATTATATGCAAACTATAAAAACACATTTTTGGAAAAGGGGGTCTTTTCTCTTAACTGTAAAGGAGATGGTGGTGTATGATTTCTTCATAATACAATTTTTTTTTTATTGAATTAACATATATACATATAAAACAAAATTAAAAAGAAATTCAATAGAAGTAGTGGGCTGTTTAAGACCATTTATTGTGCTGAAAAACAGGATAAGACAAGTAACAAAAACATCTCCATCAGTGTTACAGATGTGTAAAAATTTACAAAATCCTTTTTGCAAGTTTCAGCTCTTCCATTTATTATGTGATATATATATAAAACGACGAATACAAAAAAATAAAAAGTACTAAAACAGCCTATTATATGGATGGGAAATTAAAAGAAAAAGAAAAGAGGAGCTGTCCCCTAGCGTTGGTGTCCTGATCTGGTGTCTGATTCAGGAATGAGAAGAACTCCCCGCCTCCGACTTGCCTCCATCGTTACTTTCGCTCGCTTGCCTCATCACCATTTCCCGGGCAATACATGTCACCTGCCCATTGGTCACACTCACCACCCCTGACCTGCAGAGAGCCAATCACATTAAGGGATTTAGAATTAAGAAATTGATGTCAAACTAACACCCCTTGTTATAAAATCTAAAATTTGCAACTGCATCTGCAATTAAGAGTGCATCAGCACTTGGCAAGGCCTTCATGTTACATGCACCAACTCGGGTGAAACTCAATCCAGTGACTCACTTCTGCTGAGCCTCCTCAGTAAGAGTTCCCATCCCAGGCTGGTTCTGCTTCCCAAAGAAGAAACTGGACCACCAATGACCAGAATCCTGTTTGGGCAGACCTAAAGCACAATTAAACAACAGGTCAGAACAAGTAAAGCACCATCATGTAGGCACAATCACCGTTAAAGAGTCTCTAAACAAAGACATGTAGGCTGATGCATGCATGCAGTCAGGAAAAGGTAACAGCTCAATCCAAGATGATTAAGCAACAATGCTTTTTCAGCGATTTCCTTAACAGCTGATTATTCAAAAGCAATCAGATGAGTATCCATTTCAACAGCGCTGTGATGTAGGTGCAAACTGTGCAAATCGTGTTGCACAATGCGTGTAAATGTCTTCAAGTCAAAACTGTTGCAATGAAGTATTGATTGAGGTGGGGGGGTTGAAAAGAGACAGATATGAAACGTAACTCACCTGGGTGATGTGGAATAACCTCCCCACTATACTCTGAACTGCCACACGAGCTGCTACTGGATGTAGAGCCAATGCGCCCTGAAAAGGAACAGTCTTATAAGGCAAATTCTCTTTAGAACATCAACTATTAATAGTTGCATACACCTATAACAGTAAAGAACTTACTTCTGTAGTAGTCGTGAGTAGCAACTAGGGAACCACTAGCTGGGATGGCTGCCATTTTACAGACTTGTGTAAACCGTGACTTAGATGGAAACCCTGTGAGAAGACATTTGGTCAGACATGACTGCTTCTGTAGCAAATAATACAAACTAGATATTAACTTCTCATCTTAAACCTGAGAATGGATTTTAATGAATACAGACTCAGGGCAGGCATTTAAAAGATTTCATCTCTCACAACATGGTTTTGGTGACATACTGGTATTGTAAATGTTACTCATTATACAGTTTAGTGCCAAAAAACAAGACTAACCAAACTGACATCATGCCACTTGAGACATTCTTTACAAAAAAGCTTCCTACAGCATTTTTCAGAAGGCTAAATTACACGAGGATGTTACAGTAATCTCACTGAAATTACAGCAACTGCGATCACAAAACAAACATTTCTGTCTCAAACGTGAGAAAACATGCACCACTACAGATAAACGACACTAATAGTGTTAGATTAAATGTATTCTTCTCCGACTCTCCGAACCAAACAATGACCACCCTTTAAAATATGAAGCGTAAACCACAATCTCACCTTCTTCTGCCGCTCGTGCTGATGTTATTAAAGCACCCAGCTCAATTCAGTCGGAGGCTTTGGGGAGAAAACGCTAGGCAACGGGGCCCATTTGAAAAGGTTTGGATGGATAAAACCCTCCACGTCCGGAAATCTCTAACTTTACGTTACCGCAGAGTGCTGTTTAACAAAAACTAAAACTCGTTCGCTTACATTTATACCGAGATGACGACGTCGACGACAAGCACTGGTGACGGAGGCGTGGCCTTTCGCTCCTCTATAAGCCCCTCGGTGTGGAACCGGATCAAACCAGCGAGAGCCAGGACGGAACGGCTGATGATACACGGAGCAACTATGGGCACTTGGGCAGTGTTGCCGTCAACGGCAAACCAGTTTAGACACAGGGCCCACGACCGATCTAAAGTATCCAGATTGAAATATGTTACCCATTCTCAGGGGAAGTGCCCAAGCAATATTGCTCTAAAAAAGTTGCCCCGTGTAACATCAGCCTTAGGGTTTGGACTTTGGTATTGCAACTGATTGGGCGCACTAGACTTCATAACATTATCAACAAATATGCATAACGAATACATATATCATTTCAATCAATAAATAGTTTGGGATTTGCCTCGATAACACTGCACGACTCCTCTGAAAGCACTTCCCTGATGGTCTAGTGCAGGGGTGCCCAAACTCGGTCCTGGAGGGCCGGTGTCCTGCAGAGTTTAGCTCCAACTTGCCTCAACACACCTTGCCTTCAAGTTTCTAGTATGCCTAGTAAGAGCTTGATTAGCTGTTTCAGGTGTGTTTAATTGAGGTTGGAGCTAAACTCTTCAGGACACCGGCCCTCCAGGACCAAGTTTGGGCACCCCTGGTGTAGTGGTTAGGATTCGGCGCTCTCACCGCCGCGGCCCGGGTTCGACTCCCGGTCAGGGAATTAACGGTTTTTGTGATGTTTCCCAGTTTCCCACTCATAATTCATAACAAAACAACACTATTCACAGCTATTCATGAAGAGTGAACGTGTACGTGTGACATTGCGAATTAGCTGTTATTCAGAATATGATCTGCATTTGATGAATAACAACAGTTTACCTACCGATGATCTGATCGTATTGTAAAAAAACTGAGGACTGATGTTTGCTTTTCAGCCATAAACAGGGTTTAAATTGGGCCGGGCACATAGACTCGACATTAACGCTTCATTAACGCCAGACAAGTAACATTATTAAAACATCAGTAACCAAAAATAACTATGTAAACACCAAAACGCAAGTATTATTCTGATTGTATTACATTTAGAGTAAGTGGCGAATATAACGTTAGCTGTATTAAATGCATCTATTGACGGAATAAGGTTGCGCAGCTGAGGCGAGGCTCACGCAGCCTCTCCAGGTGAAATCACAACGTGCAACACTAAGAAACTCAGCATCCTGAGGTAAAAATTCAAAACGGAAAGTTTTTATATTTAAAATACAGTTAGTTAGGCAACATCACACAATGTTTTCACCATTACGACTGTTTAATTGTTCTATAAACAGTTCAATAAGCAAATACAATCATATTAGGTCACTTACATTTTAGGCGGAAACACAGCACATCTCACAGCAACCCGCCGATTCATTGCTGATTGAATCAAAGCTGTTTTTATATTTAAAATACAGTTAGTTAGGCAACATCACACAACGTTTTCACCATTACGACTGTTTAATAGTTCTATTTCAATAAGCAAATGCAATAATATTATTAGCTCACTTACATTTCAGACGGAAACAGCGCATCTGACAGAAACCAGACGATTCATTGTTGATTGATTCCGTGTTTGGAGCGAATCGGTTGAGTGAGTTAGTTTCATTAGCCCATGCAGAAACATCTGATGAATCTGCCGTTTGAACGAATCGTTTGAATGAACGACTCAATGACTCACTCATTAAAAGCTCACTACTGAGAATTTTACGAGAGACAAATGATTAAAGCAGCATCTCCACTGTTTCCTTTGGTGAAACATCTTGCTGGATTTGCAGGAAGGCTTTCACTGTACTTTATTATTTATTTTTCAAATGACCAATAAAGTAGTTTTTATACTGCAAACGATTGTCAAATCAGTAATGATGCTGTGATGCTCCCTCTCTCTCTCTCTCTCTCTATATATATATATATATAATACACCAAACTGTGTTCATATTTAATTTTAAAGGGCTTTTAAAACCTGCTAGAGATAATCAGCCAAGAATGACAACTAACTAACTAACTAAAACAAAACAAAAAAACTTTTTCTGACGGACTGATATCACAAACACATTCTCTAACACGCATATTGACTTGGCAACACTGGAAGAGGATAGCTTTCTGATGGCGCATCAAGAACCGGTACTTAAGAAAACCTGGTACCGTAACGTTTTCATTTTTTTAGTACCGACTTGGTGCCGAAATACCGGGTCTTTTGACAACACTATTCAAAAATATTTAAAAGAATCTCATAATATTATTTAATGCAGTTGTATTTTTCAGTGTAAATGATTTAATTTGATAACGTATAGATAATCACATTGATTGAATTTATAGATCAAATGTAAGAATTTGAAATGAAAGTATTAATGAGATTAGTGGGAAAATGCCCTCTATAAAGGTACAACAACAACAAAAAAAACGCCCTTGGATAAAATATTAAAAAAAAAACACGCCGATTTATATGTCACAGCTGATAAAAAACTGATGAGAATATTGCTTCAGAATAAATCATATCTGCAACAAAACAAAACACACACACACACACACACACACACACACACACACACACACAAGCTCGATATCATAAAGCCGCCCCACACAACAAATCCCAATTTAACCCCTGGCCATAAAGGACAATTTGGGGAATACAAACAAGAAGGAATAAAACAAGCTGAATATTTTTATTCTTTGTATATTTATTGCGGTTAATTTTTAAAATATTTTCACCTTATATTCAAGTATTTTCACCGTTTTGAACTTGGGTCAGAGAAAAATAAAACAAAATTAAACCATTTTAATGAAGTTTCTAATTATTAGCTAATTAATATGGTAAAAAAAATTTCAGGAAAAATAGGTAGAAGGTAAAATAGGTGAAAAAAACCCATAGTCTGTGAAGTAGAGGCGCTCAAACGTTTACCACGAAGGGCCAAATACCAAACTTGATTGAAGGCCCTGGACCAAAAGTAAATGTTACATTTTATCCAACTATATATTTACATTTCTAATCAAATTCATAGTTTCTACATATATTTCAATGCTACAATAAAACAAATGCTAAAACAAAGAAAAGTCGAAGATGTCCTCCAATGGCATGTTTGCGTAAAAAGCGCAGAGCCTGTAGAAGCACGTCTTCTCTAGAGTACGTACTGTACTGCCACCTCCTGGCAGATCTGTCACTAACATTATGAAAGGGAAGAGAAAAGAACAAACCAAACGCCATTTGAACGAATGCTTTATTGATATAGAAACAACTGACAAAAATAAATGAAGAATAACACCACTGTTGTTGTTAAAGAAAACAATCTGAGCATTTAAATCTGAACAGCTAGGCTGAGATCTCTAATTTAAAGCTATATGGTGCCTGTTAAGTAAACAACCTCCCCAAAAAGACTACTCAAAAGAATAATAAAAAAGTCCTTTCCCTCTGAATGTTCATGATCTTTTGTCATCTTTTCACCGTTTGCAGAACTACAGGTGTCTCCACATAATTCTATGGCATTTTACACATGGATTCCAGTAGAAAGTCACATGAAGTTGGCATCTCATCATCTGCATCAGTACCTTGCATCTCAAACAATGAGGCATGTAATCATCTTGTAATATACTGAAACAAGGCCACCCACTGACACCCATGTAAGTGAATGAAATAGTAGGATAGAACAGATAAAAATGAAGCAAAATAAGAGATTACATTTACTAATAATGAAATGCCACTAACAAAAGAAATTCAACTTACTTAGCAGGACCTACTCGCCATTTGGCATTTTGGGTTAGTGCACATGAGAGTAACTTCTTTTTTATTTCTTAAAATTGAACCGTGATCTTTGTGATGTGATAGTTTGGTGATAGTTTGTGTGTGAAACATTCTGACAGCAAAAAGTCTATGGCATCTGGTACACACAGCATGGCACAAAGCAAAGGCAAGTGACTCCCGACAAACACAGCATAAATAAAACATTCCCATCAATGAAAAAAAATAACTGAACAAGAGCAAGAAAAAGCAAAGGTTAAAAAAAAGATAAAGCAAAAAACAATTTAGGGTAACATGTTTTCACCAGCAACAGACCAACAAAGCAATAGAGAGTGCGAGTGTAAGGCCGACTGAGAGGGTCAGACATTCACCAGGTGTACAGCTTCACATTGTACTGAGAGTCAAAAATAACAACTGAATGCTCAGCAGCATAGAAACCAGCAGCAAGTTTCTTTTCTTTATTGGTCTAAAATCCACCCCCCTTGAGATTTAAATGTTTCTTCTTTGTGTATTTTATACCCCTCTGCCGACTGATGAATGCTGCTTGGCAGTACTGTTTAAATATAGTTATTTGTATTCCATTATAGTCATATATAGATAAAAGTTATGTAAAAACATTATGCAAAGCAGTGTAAAATAGTTTCTAATACAAAATGATTCATCATTTGTCTTCTTTTGTACAACCTGTGATGATTTCATGTCACAGAATCTGTACTACGTGTGTGTTTTCAGTGAGATGAGCAAGCACATGCTAGCAGTAGGTGAAGGGGTATCAAAGGAGACAGAGGAAGGAGGGATGAAAGAATTCAGAGAGAATGGGGGAACTAGGAGAACGGAAGTGTAGGTGTAGTCAGGATTCACAAAGAATGAGATGAGTGTTTAAATCAAGAGGGTGGGCTCTCAGAACGGAGCGTTGTCCTGGTTTGACTCGTTCGGAGAGTGGGCACTTTCACCATTGGCTTTCCCTCCAACCACCTTATACTGAGACACACAAACAGAAAAAACCATTAAGAGACACGCAGGACACCGAGTGTCCAAGGAAAAATCAAGTTTAAAAAGCATGTGTCAAGTTCTTAGACGTGCTCTACACAGCATAGTCATGTTGGTTTCATATGGTTTTGTAAAACTTTTATATCCTTTTTTAACAACAGTTTACATTTAAAGACTCAAAAAAAATCATCTGGTGTAATTATAAAGAAAAAAATAAACCATTTATTATTTTTTTTAAAAGTCATTCAGTTTTTTGGGGGAAAATTGGCCTTGAGAGACATTAAGGGCCCTCTATACAGCATTGATAATAATAAGAAATATTTCTTGAACACCAAATCAGCATGATAGAATGATTTCTGAAGGATCATGTGACACTGAAGTAATGATGCTGAAAATTCAGCTTTGTATCACAGGAATAAATTACACTTTAAAATATATTAAAATACATAAAAGTAATTTTAAATTGTAAATTTGTTTTCACATTTACTGAGTTTTTGATCAAATAAATGCAGCCTTGCTGAGTATATGAGACCTATTTAAAAAATCTTGATAGTGTATGTGATATAACTTCTTGTTTTATGTTTTATGTTTCCGCTTGATGGTTGTACCACTTGACTTTGATTTGATGGACAAATGTCTTCGTTTTTGTCTTTGTCAATATTTTAAATATATCAAATGTATTTTTGAATAAATAACCAGATCTGCCAAAAATAAGCATCATGTATTTGACCCAATTTCAAAAGTGAAGCCTTACCTTGATGTTTCCAACTTTGTCCTCAAATGATTTGAAGGTTGGAGAGTTCCTATTTAACAAAACACACATTAATCCCACAGTTCGTGGCAGAAGAAACATTGCAATTAATTAGACATGAGCAAGTGGACTTAGTAAAGTAACTGGCTTATAAAAGGTAAGAAAAAAACAAGCATGCCAAAAATAAATAAATATATTTATCAAGCATTATGAGAATATTCAATACAGCCGTTTAAACAGTTTAGTATTATTTGTTTTAATTAAAAAAAAAAAACGGTTTGAGTTGAGGGGCAGTGGTTTACCCTAGTACTTTACCTCATAGTTGGCATACTTATTGAATGGCGAATGGAGTAGTTGCTACTTCGAAAGCATTAAAAGGAGAAAAAGTTGTGTGTGTTAGCAAGCAAGCAGGACAGCACACAAGGCAGAGAGATCAGCTGGGCTACACCACACAAAGACTGCTAGTATGTCTGTGACATTTCCAGCTCAAACTTCGGATCTTTAAAAATCACATTTGTTCACACATAATATAGCACTGTAATCATGCACAAGTAGTTAAGAATCAAAATTAGCAGGGTTTCGGAGCTAAAATAACATTAAAATCAATATTACATTCAAATTATAATTAAAAACTTTTTTTTTATTAAATGGGCTTAGTATTACAAACAGAGCTCTATGTTAAGCGTAAATTATTTGATGACATTAATCAGTCTTACCCAAAGGAGTTAGAGAAAGGAAGAGCTCTGTAGACCAAGCAAGGGCAGCGTTTAAAAAGAAAGGGGGAATACAAAAGCAATCAGGTTGGGTGTTAAGCAGGACCAAAGCAAGCAGGACGAACAAATTATGAGAATTATTGTTCTGATATAGAGGAATACAGGGAATAGCGAAGTGAACCAAAAAACAATCAAACCATTTTATGGGGGTAAATATGATGGATAGATGTTAATGACTAAAAGTGGCTAATAAATTTGAGTGATGTCATTATTTGTCTGATGAATGAAGGGACACAGCAGCAGAGCTTTAATTAATAAAGCAAGGCTGAAGCTTTTGATCTGTTGAATGACGTGATTAGCTTCTCTCTGTCACACACTAGAGACTGATTTATGGAGCAGCTAATGATTTTGATACTGGTCTCAGGCCCTCTGCATATCAGAACACTGAGGACCAACTATTCACAGGTCACGTTTAATAGAAGGAAAGTCAGGCCTTCACAAAACTCCTTTTCTTCTGCCTTCTGTTTGTGGGGTGGTGAAGGAAGTTAAATAAATGTGTGCAAATAATGGTAAGAACAGAGACAGTATATGCAGTAAAGTGAATCAGGAGCCAGGAAAACAGGTTAGGGTGAGCTTCTGTTCATCATATGAGTAAAACAGCCGGTTACAGTTTAAGTGGCTCTGCTGACTGTGGTCGCACTGCATTAACACTCATTATGGATAATAATGGCTTCATAGTGATGATGAATGGCAGCAGGATATGACAAATGCAAAAGAGTGGATCAATAACCAAAGAGACAACGTAGGCATGAGGGCTTTGTTCACACTGTATACAAATCCAATTCAGTTTCCAATCCAATCTTTTGTCTGCACTGTGATTTCATCAGATTTCAAATCACATATGGATGTTGTTTGGATTGTATATTTCTTTCTTTTTTGGTATTCAGAATCAATGATTTTCAGTAGGATTTTTGCTGCCCGTCTAAACGAAGCCAAAGGCAAGTGATGGAGAAATGCCACATATACACACACACACATAAATGCAGTTTAAGATAAATCATGAACTGTTTTGACACAACAGAACTAAACTGCTAAGTTAGACAAAACACTTGGACATTAACCAGGAACAATGGTTAGTCTAAATTCATATTACCCAAGAAAAATTGTGAATTAAATAAAAACATATGCAAGTTAAAAGAAAGGATGCAAATTTAAGTGACTGCAGAGTCACATTGTAATTTGTGATTGAGAAAAAAAAAAAAAAAAGGTACTAGAGAAACAGAAATGATTTTGATACTGGTCTCAGGCCCTCTGCATATCAGAACACTGAGGACCAACTATTCACAGGTCACGTTTAATAGAAGGAAAGTCAGGCCTTCACAAAACTCCTTTTCTTCTGCCTTCTGTTTGTGGGGTGGTGAAGGAAGTTAAATAAATGTGTGCAAATAATGGTAAGAACAGAGACAGTATATGCAGTAAAGTGAATCAGGAGCCAGGAAAACAGGTTAGGGTGAGCTTCTGTTCATCATATGAGTAAAACAGCCGGTTACAGTTTAAGTGGCTCTGCTGACTGTGGTCGCACTGCATTAACACTCATTATGGATAATAATGGCTTCATAGTGATGATGAATGGCAGCAGGATATGACAAATGCAAAAGAGTGGATCAATAACCAAAGAGACAACGTAGGCATGAGGGCTTTGTTCACACTGTATACAAATCCAATTCAGTTTCCAATCCAATCTTTTGTCTGCACTGTGATTTCATCAGATTTCAAATCACATATGGATGTTGTTTGGATTGTATATTTCTTTCTTTTTTGGTATTCAGAATCAATGATTTTCAGTAGGATTTTTGCTGCCCGTCTAAACGAAGCCAAAGGCAAGTGATGGAGAAATGCCACATATACACACACACACATAAATGCAGTTTAAGATAAATCATGAACTGTTTTGACACAACAGAACTAAACTGCTAAGTTAGACAAAACACTTGGACATTAACCAGGAACAATGGTTAGTCTAAATTCATATTACCCAAGAAAAATTGTGAATTAAATAAAAACATATGCAAGTTAAAAGAAAGGATGCAAATTTAAGTGACTGCAGAGTCACATTGTAATTTGTGATTGAGAAAAAAAAAAAAAAAAGGTACTAGAGAAACAGAGGAAGCACAAGGGTGGGCATTTTAACTTGTGCATTACCTCATGTCACCCAGTTTCCTGCTGATGGCCGTGCCAACGGTGGAGAGGGCGGCTGAGGTCTTCTGTCCAGCCTGAGACAGCGTTTCCTGAGTCTTTTTATACCTGTAAGAGGAAGAACGCAGAGAGAAGAGGATGTGGGGAGAGAGAGAAAAATATTTGAAAAAATCATGTGAAACTCTTTAATGTCCATGAACTTCTCAGGAGTTAGTCAACAAGACCACAGCCTCCAGATAACAAACACCAGTCAGACACCCTTAAAGTCATCAGAAATGTTGTTAGTTATTTCACTGGATACCAAATGAAAAAGAAATCCTCTTAATATACACTACCATTCAAAAGTTTGGAGTAAGATTCTGTTTTAAAAGAAACTGAGATTATACATTCCATTAATCAAAAGTGATAAAAAAAAAAAATGTTATGGCAAAAATGTTACAAAAGATTTCTATTTCAAATAAATGCTGCTCTGTTTAACTTTCTATTCACCAAAGAATCCAGGAAAAAAATGCATCAGTATCCATAAATACATTAAGCAAAACTGTTTTCAACTGATAATAATTAAAAATGTTGCTTGAGCAGCAAATCAGCATATTAGAATGAATTCTGAAGGATCATGTGACACTGAAGACTGGAGTAATGATGCTGAAAATTCATTTTCACAAAATTCATAAAGTACACTTTAAAATATATGAAAACAAGAATGTTTTTTAAATTCCAGTTTTAAATTGTAATAATATTTAAATTCCAGTTTTAAATTGTAATAATAATATAACACTGTATTTTGATCAAATAAATGCATCCTTGGTAAGCATAATGGACAAAAGAAATCGTACAAATTCCAAACTTAAATAGTAATGCGTATCTACAGAGTAAGCTCATTTAAATTGCAATTCACAATACTTATAACGCAATATAAGATTGCATTATCTAATAACCCAGCGAGAAACAAAATCCACAAAGCAGAGCAAGCCACCCTAAAACAATCTTTTAGCCCTTCATGACCTTAAAATAGCAGAAAACATACTTTAAAATACACAAAATGTAAAGAATGAAGTAACTCACACTTCAGAGCTGGAAATGTCATCCAGAGTGGCAGAAGCTGAAAGATATCTACAGTACAAACGAACAGGGTAATACATTCAAATCTCCACTCTCACAGTCACAACGTGCTATAAACACACACACAGCGTATTTCATTTTTAAATTTATGATTATACAATTATGCTGCCTCACAAACAGAACACAAGCGCTGCTAAAATGCACAGCCAGAGAAAAACAACACCAGTTTATTTGACATCCTTCTTAAACACACAAACTCCTGGTGTTTAATTGAGAAACTTGTGTGCTTGAATAAGGTGTGAGTATACTGGAGCTTTCAAGCAGAAAAAGTCACAGTCAGCAAATCTTGAAAGTCAAAACGACATGACATAAACCACCTTAGTTATTGGGAATCAAGTAGCATGTTAGTGCAGAGGATATTGTAAAGTGGATCTTGATGTAATATTCATGACTATAGAAAGTGCACAAAACTGCAGAATGGTTTCAGGAAGCATTAATTGGCCTGTACTGCTGCAGACGTGGCATTCGTTCATCTGAACCTGACAAGACTTTCCTTACACAAACATATGCCCTCTCTGTAGACGTTTCTGTGTGTAAAGAGGGAAGTGGGAGATCTCACACACTCGTGATAACGTAGCCTGTCTGACAGGTTTATGAAACCGCAACTACATCAGGACTGCCGCTAAAAGTCATGGGACCCGGGGGAAACCACAGAGGACCGTAGCAACTTTAGTCTCATCACAGGACCCGATTCCAGATTTACCTTCTGACGACAGCGCTGTTTATAAAGCTAAACCCGTCAATATTACTGCAACACAATTTGTTAACTTTTTAAAACCATGAAAAAATTGTCAAAGAGCTGATTCCTCTTGCTTGACCTTTCTGAGATATGGTAAATCAAGCAAAATGGCAGCTGCTTCAACAGTTAGCAGTAGCTAAGAACCTGTTTGATATGCTATTTTATTATAGTTAGAGTAACCTAATGTGCCTTTTTTGTTCAATATATTGTAAAAGTACATACAATACCATTCAAAAGTTTGGGTTCAGTAAGATAAAAAAAAAATATATATATATACTTTTATTTAGCAAGGACATATTAAAGTGTTCAAAGTGACAGCAATAACTTCTATTCATCAAATAATCCTGAAAATATTATGAACCTACATTAAAATACAGAAATATTAAGCAGCACACCTGTTTTTAATATATTAAATATATAATATATAATATATATTGGTAATAATAAAAAAACAATTTCTTCAGAATCAAATCAGCTTATTAGAGTGATTTCTGAAGGATCATGTGACACTGAAGACTGGAGTAATGATGCTGAAAATTCAGTTTTGCATCACAGGAATAAATTACATTTTAAAATATACGAAAATTTTCACAACATCTTTGATCAAATAAATGCAGACAGGTGTGCTTAAGAAATGTCTTTCAAATACATTTAAAAAAATGTTAACCCCAAACTTCTATCTTTTGAGCAGTAGTATAAAAGAGGTGAATTAATGTAGCGATTTCTATTTGCAGCACTGCTATAGAAACAAATAATTTGAACAGGCAAGGATGTGAACAGCTGATCTTCAGCAGCTGATGATTCAGGCATGGTACATGAATGCAGCATAACTTTTAAAGAAGCAAAGAGCTGTATGTTCTTGAGTGTTTCAGAGATGGAGGAGTACTACTTGCATGAGTGGACAAAGAGACTGTGAAGCTAAAAAAAAACAGAAAGAGTCAAAAATATATGAGACATGATTCAGTGTTTTAGGCGCCCACTTTAACTAAAAAGCAAAAATACCTCTGTCCTTCCTCATGTGGCAATTAAGATCCAATTTTCTTCTATAAACAGCCTTTGTCTTTCAATACTATGTAACGTTTCAGTTAGTAGAGTGGAGAATTAATGGGGCTGATAAATATGTAGGGCTGGGTAAAAAAATATCGATATGTCAATATTAATCGATTCTCATTTTTACGGAACGATATCGATTCTTAAATCCCAAGAATCGATTAGTCTAGACTGTTTTCAGTTAATGGACGGAACATTGAAGCGCACCTCCCATCCAATAAATCGCAATAAGCATTGTGCTTTAGTACTTTAAATATGAAACAAAGTCTCAGAGTTCAAATTCTGTCCATTGTATTGCAGTATTTAAACAATAAATGCAGTTTTGGCGCTGTTTAATGTGGAGTGACAGATCGCTGGAGCGCCTCAGTTCGACAGACGCAGCAGAGAAAGGCGCACGTGAACTGATCATCTCCTCCACATTAATACCAGTTTCAGCACAAAATAAACATGACTAAACATCCTAAGTTAAGTTAAAATAAAGAGTACAACTTCACAATCCGTATCCTGTCTCATGTAATCGCTCAATCAGTGTTTCAGCCGCGCAAAGACGTCAATAATGACTTGTGACGTTACATGACACATTGTTTACATTTAGAAAAAACATATTCGGTGACCATAAACTCATTAGATAGAAAAATAAACTGTAGAGAGGGGCATTTTGCTAAAAATATGCACCATATAACATATTATAATTGTTACTTTTCTTCAATGTTTAATTTATGTTTGAATAAATCCATAAATTGTTTTATGACAGACACCATTTAAATGTTTATATTTAAAAAAAGAAATAACGAATTAAAGTAGAAATATTATTATGTAATTGTAACTTTATTATTTTAAAAACTTAATTAGGTGTAATTTTAGCAGTTGTACAAATCAGTCAATTTTAACCTTCAATATTATAGTAATGTAGTACCAACTGACTCTCATGTATATTTTACAGCATTAGTTGAGATTTTTTATTGCTTGAAAATTTGGCAAGTACTGTACCTGATATATGTCCAAAATAATCGATATTGAATCGAATTGGTAATCGAATCGAATCGCAAGCTTGTGAATGAGAATCAAATCGAATCGAATCGTGAAATTTGTGTCAAAACCCAGCCCTATAAATATGTACATTGTACAGAAGGTTAGAGTTTATGCTACAGGAGACCAGATCATAGCATTTAAAACACCATCAATCTTCGTTTGAGAGAGGTTTTGGTTATTTGTGTTAGGCTGTATTTGATATGGATGGTTCATTTAACCCATCAAGGGGTGGAGCATTTGAACACCTGCATCTATATTTGATGCGCTGCATCCATTGATTTATGATCACCAGAGCAGAAAACCCCCCAAGCCAGCAGTTATGTCTCCTCCTGAAACACGCTGGATTCAGGTGTTCGAATGCTCCACTCTCATTGACAGGTCGAGTGGGTGAGAGGAGTTCATGCATTCACTGCAAATACGTGCCAATGCGGTCAAACACTCACATATCACATCCTGTAACCTTCTCATTCCACTGGCCCAGCTTCTCTGACATCGCCACATAGCTAAAAAACACAGATGTGACTATGTGCTGCCTAGAGTGGAGCAGAACAGCAGATCACTAAAGCAAAATATGGTGTTAACTCTCTCTGACTGACTAAAAACCAATAACTCCATGGACTGAAGTACTGACAGACTGAAATATTGGCTAGGCAAATTATTCTGCTATATTTGGCCATTTTGAGTTGCCAGTGGCTAATTTTAACATATTTCAGTAGATACTGTGCAAAATAAGTGCTCAGATTTGTGTATAAATTTTATGGACATCTTATTTACTGTATGGATACTTTTCAAGTTTTTTTTTTTCATATTTAAAAAAAATTGTAATGTACATTTATAACATTACACACTGTGTGTTGGTATTAAATCTCACACACACACACACACACACACTTGTATTTGTGGTTTACGGGGACTCTCCATAGGCGTAATGGTTTTTATACTGTACAAACTGTATTTTCTATTGCCCTACACCAACCCTACCCCTAAAACACCGTTTTGTATGTTTTTTAAGCCTTTTGTTTTACAGGGACACAGGAAGTGTCCTCATAAACCATGTTTACGTTATAGTACCCATGTCATTATACACATTTGTGTCCTCATAAACCATATATACCTGTACACACACACACACACACACACACTATTTAATACTGTTGCAAGGGAGTTTATAATACAATGGCTGAGGTAGTCATAGTAAATTTGATACCTCTTCTGGCTGCCATAATCATGTAAATGCTCCATATTTTTCCCTTTGTTGGAAATAGGTTATCTTGGATTTTTTTTTTATTTTGCTATTGGAGCAAAAATGATATTTGCTGTAGACTCCCGTTTACCTATAAGTTTACCCATCTATGAATTCCACTTCTGTAAACTCCAGAAATGTTAAAAGGGTCCATTATTGGCCACCCTCTAAAATACTGTTATTGGCATTTGCTAAAAACAAAAACTAAATAAATAAATAAAATAAAAACCAGTTTAAAGCTTGCAGGCAGATTTGATCTTTGGTTTAACATACATTTGGGCAAACATTTTTATATTGGTTTGAGGCAACTCTGAAAACATGAGAACATTATGCTATCGTAGTAAATGTAAAAACCAGGGCTGGATCCTACAAAAAAACTGGCACTTTATCCTAAACTACTGACAGGGTGATTACACCATAACAAAAAAATGAAAACACACGTTTTGGTAGGTTCACATTAGACTACCAAAATAGTAGTTCACATCAAGCCAGTCTTGGCCCACGCAACCTCAGGCTTTTAAGGGTCTAAGGTACTGACCAGGACCATCTCAGTTAAGTAAAATACTACACACACTCATAAAACCACCAAAGTTTTTCCACCTACAGGATCAAAAACAGCAAACATCTGTTGTTTGTATAAAATCTTGAGAGTCACGCTCAAACCAATGGCCATGAGCTCCAGCTTGGAACACAATAAATGGTGGTAATTCATGTCTGAGTCGACTACAATCCTCCCACAGAGCCCTTTGAAACCGGACTGCCATTTTTCAACTGATAAAACAATTACACTGAAGGACTTTCAGCTGACGGCATAGATGCCCGTCTATAATGTACACAGAAACCAATGGTCATCTCCGCTGCCTGAACATGCACTCAAGAGCTTTTTCTAATGCTTTCATTTGGTAACGTACAATCTTGCAAAAAATGCAATTGGACACCTGCGACTCTTTATTTTTAGGCAGATTTCCAGCAGCATAAAGAGAGAGGAATGTGTGTGAGCTGGAGAAGAGCACATTGAAGCTGGATTAGTTTGAAAGGCTTCAGATCTCCCATGAATTCCTCCACTGATGGAACCAGCTACCAGCTTGCATCTGCCATCTTGCAGAGTCGTTACCCATTTGTCACTTCAACAAACCCTTTCTAAATTTTGTCCAGTATTATGTCATTCCTGCAGGGTCTGTGAAAGCGGTTTAGGGTTCGAATTTGCATATGGCAACCCAGAAGACAGTACATGTTACCTCCTGGGTTTAAGTAAGCAGGACATGTAAAGGAAGGCATCCTTACGCGTTTGAGGTCTGGACGTCCTGCCAGCTTTTGGTGATGTTCTGTTTGAACTCGGTCAGGGGGCTCAGGCCCAGTTTACGCTTCAGCTCCGATGCATGGTGCTCTTTAGCCGACAGCACCTGCCTCAAGGTGTGGATCTCCTCCTCAACCTAATAGGAGGATGTCACACTTTGTTTTAAAGAAGTAAACAATAACTGAATAACATGAATGTATGAGTTACTTCAATTTATAATGAATCACTCTGAATTAACATGTTAAATTAACAGCCCTAATCTGAAGACATATTGGAGAAGATGAGCACATTCTCAAACCCCTGGTCATGCAGTGGCTGTAGGTGTTTACCTTGGTGAGCTCCAGTCTCAGTTCCTCGGCCTCCTCCTCTGTCAGACCCGGAGGGAGAGTCCCTGGACTCACAGCAGCCGCCCCCCTCTCTTCAGGCATGTCTGAGAGAGAGTCACAGCCCAGGCCTTTATGTGGAGAGTTCAGATTGATGTCTGTCAGATTGAAAGAGAATGATATATTAAAGATGAAGTGCATAATTTCCGTAACACTAAACAGAATTGTAAAAAATAAATGTGATCAGAGAAGTTTATTTTCTTGAAATCGCTTTGGACCACAAAAAAAAACCCAAACTTAACTTTTCCACAGTAAATACATCACCACAGAAAGAAAATGCCCTTGTTACAATATTTAATTATGTTATTTATCCTGTCACCATGAACTTATGATCACTCTTCACACAAACATTTTATCTAACTCACATTCAGAGGTAAAAGCATAAACGGCAGAAAACGAGGCTGAATCCAGCTTTTTATCCTATTTATTGACGCTATCCATTGCACCTTAAAAAACATGACGCTTCCACGTAGCTTCTTATTCACACTCAACTTAAAGACCGTGTGGATTTTGTTTTTTTTTCATGTTTTTTAATGGCCCACGTTGCTTGTGTTGCTGTTTTCAAAATAAAATAATACATTCTTTTTAAATGCAAATAACACTGAATTAGCAGCGAAATTGGACCATGTAAAGGCACATACAATATGATTACAGTATTATTTATTACTGAACGTGTCATCAGCTCAACTTAGGGACCATGTGTTTTACTCTTATTCATGCTTTTTTAGGCACCCTTTACTATTGTGTCTGTTTTAGGAAAAGAATAATAAACTATTCTGAAACGTAAATAACACCAAGATATCAGTGAAAATGACTAAGAATATTAAACATAATTCTTTCATTGTTGCATATGTCGTCTTTTGAGTAATGAATCAACTGCATTAATGAATCATCAACTGAATTTAAAAATAATAATAATTCAAACAACTGTTACAAATGTCAATATCCCGAGGTAACTAGAGATTATGCCAGCTCCAGCTTGGATCCTCTTATGAAGACTTCACATGACCCAACACCTTTGAATAGATGACACCTACCCCTCCAAGGACTCCAGAACATCAACTCTGGATGATTATAGAAAATGATCAAGTTGTCATTGCTTTAAAATGCACATTCATTTTGCTTAAATGCATATATGATATTTGTAAATACTGTAATCTGTAGCATCTTCCAACTGTACTTTCTGATATCATCTCATAAAAGACTATTGTGGTGTTATAACATAGAAACATGCCTTTTCTGTAAAGCTGCTTTGAAAAAACATGTACTGTGAAAAGCATTATATAAATAAATGTGAACTAAACTTAATTGAATTAAAAGAGCAATTGCATTGTTCGTTACTGTACTGTACCGTGAAGTCATGGACACTGACAATACAGTTAGAAGAGCCATTGCAGTATTGGCCCGATTGGAGGCGCTATATCTCTGCTGACTTTCAGGGTGCGTTAAAGGGGTCATATGATCCTGCTAAAAAGAACATTATTTTGTGTATTTGGTGTAATGAAATGTGTTTATGCGGTTTAAGGTTAAAAAAACAAATTATTTTCCACATACTGTACATTATTGTTTCTCCTCTATGCCCCGCCTTCTGAAACGCGTCGATTTTTACAAAGCTCATCGGTCTGAAAAGCGAGGTGTGCTCTGATTGGCCAGCTATCCAGTGCGTTGTGATTGGCCGAATACCTCAAACGTGTGACGAAATGTTACGCCCCTACCATATTGTGATGCCCTGTCTAGTGTTGTGCCGAATTCTGCACCCCCTCGTTGAAGTCGCTACCTGATTTCCCACATCGTGATGTAGGTATGTGGGGGCGTGTTAGAGCGAGCTGTTTTAGGTAGGCATGGTTGACTCTTAACTTTTATAAAGAATATCTCTTTGGATTTGAGATTAGTCTTTGCAACTTTACAGATCATCTTTATGCACCAAGAGCTTGTAACAATTCAAAGAGAAAGGAAAAATTGAAATCGCATCATATGACCCCTTTAAACTGGAGCCTTATTCCCAAGGCATCTGACTGTCACCATGCAAAATTTCAGACATTTTTACTGTCGCATTTTGAAGATATGAACCCATGAATTTGGCAGATATGACGATACAATAACAGGAGAAATTGCATTATTGGCCCAATTGGAGGCGCTATATCTCAGCTGCCTTTTGAGGGTGCGTTAAAAGTTATAGTAGGGCTTTATTGCTATATGTTATACACAGTGTATTGTTAATATATTAATTGTATTTTTTTTTTCGGCCATTCAATACACACGTGTGTACAGTTCAAGTGCTCAATTTAGGTCTGTGAAAGAGATGTCACGTGGGTCTGAGCTATATTAATGAGACATGTCATCTGCCCCTTACTGACCCTAAACTGCCTATTTAAATAGCATCACATAATGTGGCACAACAGATAAAGGAGTGGTGTTGTCTTTACTAATGGTTTAATAATAATAACGTTATCCCAGATCCATGTTGAAAATCGCCACGCCATAAGCGCACACGTCAAACACCAAGAAAGGGAACAATAATTTCCCAGATATCATCTATGATTTCGATGCAAATCAAATTATTGTAACGCAAACACCTGCACTCAGCCTCGATGTGTTTTTGTTATGCATTAGTAACCTGACCGCCTGCCCTGCCCTGATCTCCCCTTCACCACCACACATTCACTACGCTGGGATCCAGAGATAAGGCTACAGTTACTCTAAATTACGCTATAAACGTATAAGCGGTTGTATCAATCCAGTGTTGTCGTGTTTGATTGCTTAGTTTTTGTTTACCTTGATTGGCGGAATCCATGTCGTCGGTTTAGATCTTCAAAATGTTGTCTTGACAGTTACGTAATTCAGAGGAAAAAAAGCTCTGCGATGCGTAAATACGTGTCTTCCCTCTGGTTACTATCAAAACATCCCAAAACGCTTGACAAGCCAGCAGAAGATGCCGAGCGATCAGCCAGCTCAGCTTGAAGAGCTGCCCAAGTGCGCTTTCTTTCCGGCGCGCTGAGATGACGTCAACAAAACAGCTGAGAAAAACACAGTCGCCCAGACTGTTTTAGGACAATCTAGCAGATCAGTGCTTAAGAAAAGCATGTAATTTCCAATGCACATTTCCAGTTGCACTTTATACCCAGCTAAAAGCAGACATCGGTGTATTCATCAAACCAAACGGCTAGACGATTCTTTAGCTTATTTCTATTAGCGATGTGCGATTAGTGAACGGATTTTTCAGTCAAATCTCTTCAGAGATGCGTTTTTAAAGATTAAAGATTTCTAATTAATGGAGAAAATGACTTTGACTTAAGAACGAATACTCTAAAGTAAATCAGTCTCGAACAGCATGACTCGACAATGACCTTATAAGAATTGTAATTAAACTTAAAAAAAAAAAAATAATTAAAAAATCATTTCGACATAAACTAATATGAAACTGCAAGACCAGCGGCGCCTCCGAGTCTCCGCAGCTGCATGAAGCTGTGTAAACACAACAATACAGCAAAAGGGTCTGGCTGCAGCTTGGCGCTTGCGAGGAAAATACTATATACATATTCATTATATTAATAAACTGTATATTGAATTTAATATTTTAATAGCATCTTACATTAAGCCATGTTAAGCGTTTATGTTTTTCTACAGGAGAAAAACGCTTAACAAGAGACTTTGCGCATTGCGTTCATATTCTGCTGTTCTGTGGCCACAGATTTGCGGGTCTTGTCTTTTTCTTGCAGGACCCTGTAGGTTACGGTACTAAATTAGTTTTAATCATTAAATCACCACCACAGCGTCTTGTCTCCATTGGCAACACGCACGATTTGTGTCGATTGCAAGTGACGTTGCAGGTATCGGAGAGTGCAAGTGGCGATTGCAAGTGACATTGTAATTTAGTTTCTTTTGTCTTGTCTTCACCACCTGGCTACTGTTGTAAAATGTTGAGAGATTCAAACAAAAAGTAATCAATAAATAGAACAAAATAAAAAATAAAAAAGACTGCAAGTGACGTCGCTAGCGGAAGTGCAAGTGTCTGAGAGTGCAAGCCTGAGAAAGCAAGTCTGAGAGTGCAAGCGCCAAGCTGCAGCCAGACCCTTCTCCAATACAGGGGTAGAGAGAATCTACGAAAATTGTTTGTTTGGATATAAACACTTCGAAATGGACCATATTCATAAAAAGAAATTTGCAATCCAAACATGACCGCCGCAACCTCGAACTTCATTCACCACATGTAAAACGGTTTCTTTGATAATTTAACTAATAGCTATAGAGATTATGAAGATGTTTTGTATGTGTAGCTTGTGTTTTATGATTGTCTTTAGATCCCCATTATTAAACTCGTTAATAATCATTAATATCACGTTTTGTAGTTTCAATAATGTGACCCAATGTCAAACTTTAATTTAGCTGCCTATAGAATAGCTATTCCAGCTGGGCTGGTTGTGATTTTTTCCCCCATGGTGACGCACAGAGGCGTCATGCCCATTCAAAGTGAGGGCATGTGCCCCCTCAGATTTTTGAACCAAGTGGATTTTGAATGCAGCTTAGACAAAAAATAGCCGATTAATAGTTTCTATATTTGATACAATCACACCAGCATGATTAAATTAAATTAAAAATTAAATTAAAGGGGGTATTTCGTCCAAAATGTAAACTCTGTCATCATTTACTCTCCCATGTTATTCCTAACCTTTATGATTGTCTTTCTTCCATGAAACAAAAAAGAAAATGTTTTTGTCCACAGTAATGAAAGGCAATGGATAACAAATCAAGCTCTATTTTGATCACTATTGACACTCATTATATATGGGCAAAAACCTTCTTCACAATTTCTTTTGTAACATGGAAAAAAAGAAAGTCACACAGGTTTGGAACAACATGTGTGTCATGGATTTACCAGCCTCTCCTGTCATACACACACACACACACACACACACACACAGCGCTCTCTCTCTCTCCAACCTTCTGATGACCATCAACTGCCACTCATCAGCTCATCAACTGGCCCTGCATTAAAGCATTAATGTTGAGTTTTATCATTTTTGTGAGTTGAAAAGTTAACACAAATTGTATTTGACTGTTCTGATTTACAGCAGTGAAAAAATGTAATTAAAGGATAATAAGGTATCACTGTTTATTGCTGATTTTAAAGCTTATAGTGAACTGTAAATGATTTGGATACAGTTCTACATAAATACACAACGTAAGATCAGCCCCTCTGTGTTAATTGGCCCTCTTATGCCCCCTAGAAAAAATCCTAGAATCACCCCTGCTATAAAGTCATCACAAAATCAAAATGGACAATTCTTATTTTTATGAAACATTGCAGTTTATTATACATTTTTTTTTATCCGTGCACATTATTATTTTTATAGAATATTGCAGTGTTATAAACAATTTATCATGTGCCTTTGTAATCTTTAATAAAAACAACTTCCAACTTCCTTGCAACGTCATCTCTTCTCTGATTCTGATAGTCCAAACAACAATCGATTAAATCCCGATGGACAAATTTTTACTCATTTGAGAAGCCATTTCACTGGGATATACACCATAGGGAAGAAAAGACAGTTGCAACTTCTGTTTCGTGTCAACTTTAAATTAGATGTTAATCATACAGAGCAAAAAAATATATATTGTGCCACAAATTAAAAATGTGTTCCTACAACTTGGCTGTGGCCACATTTGATTAATTTGTTAATTTAATCATAATTTGTTCATAAAAGAAAAGAAAAGAAAAAAAAAAAAACGGTCAAGATTACACTCATTCAAACAAATTCATCAGTTCTAACAACTATTCATCCATTCATATCATTACAACCAAATCTAAAGTCAATTCAGATTGGTAAACAGGTGTTTAAAATTATATAGCCTTTGAGCACTCGTCTAGCAAATAGCGAGAACTGTCACTGACTATTACAGCAAGAATAGACAACGTTATTGGGCAAACAAAAAACTAAAATAAGTGAACACAAAGTTTTAATTGTTTGCACAAACACAAAGTAGGTTTTGTCAAGAAGCAAAGGGAAGAGACCAATAGCAAGTCATCATTCTTTCTATGAGCTTCTTGTTTTTTTATTGGAGCATTGAGCCAGGAGAATCAGAGACAAATCATCTCACTGGTGACCACTGGAGGGCTCAGTCCTTCTAGTGCGAAGCTCACAGGTGTACCAGTCAGCAGAAAACTTTATTTTTATGCCAGAACATATAGGCATGATAATAATCCAATATATCTTAAAACCTTCCTCCATTTAAACAAAAAACTTTGGCTTTATTTTTATTCAAAATATCATGTGAGCATTATTAGTACTCTCTTAAAAATAAAGGTGCTTCACGATGCCATAGAAGAACCTTTTTGTCTAAATGGTTCCATAAAGAACCTTTAACATCTGAAGAACCTTTCTGTTTCACAAAAGGTTCTTTGTGGCGAAAGAAGGTTCTTCAGATTATAAAAAGGTAAGAAAGAGATGGTTCTTTAAAGAACCTTTGACTGAATGGTTCTTTGTGGAACCAAAAATGGTTCTTCTATGTCATCGCTTGAAGAACCTTTTGAAGCACCTTTATTTTTAAGAGTGTACCTGGAGACTATGTCTCTTCACCTCTGCTATATACAAATAAGGTACTGAATGTTTCCCCATATTGTCTGTAGGATGACCAGAAAGCACAGGAAATAAAGGACTAGAGTGACAATCTAAAGGAAAGACAGAAAAGAAGCAATTGTTGATATATATTTCAATAACCTCAAATACCGCAGACAATTTTATTTAATAAGTCTCAAGTTAGGTGTTGTTATTGAAGTGCAGAAAATGTTCTTGAAAACTTTGACTGAGACTGTAGATGCACACATTAGTAGAAGAACGTACCTGTGAAGTGCTTAAGCCATTCTTTTCACACACAGCCACTTTTCTGATGTCTCTACAACTGTCTGCTGGTCCCCAAGTGTCCTCTGCTGTCTCCGGCGTGGGATTCGTCTTCTCAGAACCCTCTGATTTCAGATCCTGATATGGTTCAGGGTCAGGTTCTGGGGTCAGCACTGGTTCAGGTTCAGGGTCAGACTCAGGTTCTGACTCTGGTTCATCAGATGTTTCCTCCACTTCTTCTTCAACTGTAAAGTTGGCAGCATTGATCAGAAGAGATGTGAAAATAAATGATATGTTAATCTATTGGGTCTCTGATGCTCACTCTCCATGAAATCCAGCTGGTACAGAACTTTCTCCTCCGCATCAAAATCCACCCTGTAGTGATCCATCTTCTCATAGTCAGGATCCAGAGTCTCCTGAGTGAAGCAGTTAGTTGCTTTACCTACCCTTCAGAGAAAAGGAAAGGTACTGTTTTTGTAACTGATTTAAGCATTATTTTGATTATGGCTGAGTTCAACTGTCTTGCTAAATTTGCTTAAAGACTTACTTCTCAATAAGATTTTGTGAGGTCTATAAAGGAGAGATAAAAATATATATCAAACATTGCATGCCTTTACTGAGAAGCTCCAAGCAAAAGGTACAGTACCTGCACAAAAGAAGCCATCTCTGGGTCCTCTATGGCATTCTGGGCTGCCTGGATCAACTTTGAGTTTGTGTCTACATGCTCACTGTATGTTTGCAGTAAAGACTGGGTCCAGATAGTCTTTTCTTCCTGCTCAGAAGTGATATGTTGGGTCATTATCTTACGACGTTCCTCCAGAATGGCAGACAAGCGATCAAACTTCTCAGACAAAATCTGTTTCTGGATCCCGCTGTTTTCCTGTCAAAGTGGCATTGTATGCATTAATAGATAATTTTTTTGTAGTTAATTGATGTTCATTGCATGACTTTGTAAAAGTAATTTCTTCAGAAAGATCCACACAAACCTCTATGTTCCTGCAGAGTGCCTCTAGTTCATTAACAAATGATTGAACACGGTCATTTGTGGAAACCAAAGAAGCAAGTCTGTCACTGAGTTCAGCCTATAAAAGGTGAAATTAATTATTTGGTATAAAATGTCAAGATTTAACATGACAACACAAATATCTTGAAGATCATACCTTCTGCTGCTGGTAAACATTAGGGAGGGGAACTACTTGGCAGTTTTTGTGGGCCCCAAACACCTTACAGAGAGAACAGGAGGTCACCTGACACGTGATGCAATAAATATTAAGCTTCTCATCTTCATGCTCCGCACAGCTGAACTGTACAGGAGGCTTCGGTGGAGGCCTAGAGCTGGAGACACATTGATAGCATTACAATAAAATAAAGATCAGTTAAAGTGTTTAATCCTCCAAAAAATGCACCATATATACCAACAACCACAGGCATCACCAGACCTGGGTGAAAGGGTCTATATATGGCCACAACCATTTCATGGATAGCCCTGAATTTTAGTTGATTATATAAATCATTTGATAGAAGCATTAACCCTATATAAAGCCTTTAGGGTAAAGCCAACATTTGTTGGACAAAAAGGCTTCTAAATGATCAACATGATCAAAACGTCACTGAAACACCTGTTTCAGTTAAGTTTTACTGTAAACTGTACAGTTTAACTGTAAAAATGTTCCCCTTCAGGTTGTGGTATATACAGTATTTGCTGTGAAGTATTATATTATTACCTGATTTATGTAAGTAAGAATAACTCCTACCGTTAGTAATATTTCAAGATGAACACTTATTGGACTGTAGCAACTTAGGTTTACATGATTATCCATTCATAATTTTTTAGAAAAATTCTGTTAAGATGTGAATATCAAATATGATACATCGGGCTTTTGTGGAATGTTTATTTGCCCATCTCCCAATCGTCATTGTACTGCATTGCTTTTTAAGTTTTGCACCAACTACAGAGCTCTGATCATTAAACTAAGCATTTACAGTCTATCATCTTACTAAGGAGATATAGAGTGACAACTGATATTTATATGCATTTTATTATTTATTTATTCTGCTATACTGCTATAAAGATCTGACATAATTAACTGACATTACAAGCTATCATAATTCATATAACTTTTTAGTCTTATAAATATCAGCAACTGCAACAGATCACACTTTTTCTTTTTTCTTTTTTTGCTCAGTTTGGGCGTCTCAGTATAAAAACTCAAGTATGGGCTCCATATTCTAATATATCATACCGAGCCATAAAAGCCTTAAAGGGTTAGTTCAACCAAAAATGTAAATTCTGTCATTAATTACTCACCCTCATGTCGTTTCAAACCCGTAAGACATTCGTTCATCTTCGGAACACAAATTAAGATATTTTTGATGGAATCTGAGAGCTCTCTGACCCTGCATAGACCGCAATACAACTGAAATGTTCCCAAGTCCAGAAACGTAGCAAGGAGATCTGTAAAATAATCCATGTGACATCAGGTCTTCAACCGTAATTTTACGAAGCCACGAGAATACTTTTTGTGTGCAAAATAAAAATAAAAACGACTTTATTCAACAATTCGTCTCCTCCGCGTCACCCTGGTGCCATTTTGGAGAGTATCAGCTGGACGTGTGTGACGCAGCTGACACAGAACAGCATACGCTGTTTACGTCCAGCTGATACTCTCCAAAATGGCGCTACAGGGTGACGCGGAGGAGACGAATTGTTGAATAAAGTCTTTTTTTTTTCTTTTGCGCACAAAAAGTATTCTCGTAGCTTCGTATAATAGCGGTTGAACCACTGATGTCACATGGATTATTTTACAGATCTCCTTGCTACGTTTCTGGACTTGGGAACATTTCAGTTGTGTTGCTGTCTTTGCAGGGCCAGACAGCTCTCAGACTCCATCAAAAATATCTTAATTTGTGTTCCGAAGATGAACGAAGGTCTTACGGGTTTGAAACGACATGAGGGTGAGTAATTAATGACAGAATTTACATTTTTGGGTGAACTAACCCTTTAAGTACAGATTGCACTTACAAAAAAACGTAAACATTTACTTTATCATCTTTGTTGACGACAGTTATTCAACACACCCCTGATCTGACCTTTCAGACTCCTGTTTGTAAACATCAATAATGTTCTCCACGAGTAAATTGCGCTGCAGTCCATAAACTCCATGACGGTCCAAGACAACCTCATGCCGACAGGAAGGGCAGCGAAAACGTCCTCCGATTCCAACCTGGAAGAGAGATGGCTGCACATCTTACTCAGCATGCTGTTCTTCAGCTGTCAGCAGTATTTGTGATATTGTATATCGACTGACAATTGAAACCACTTTTCATAATTCACTACATATGTCTTTTTAAGGAAGAAAAAAGGAAAAGAAATGGCTAGCACGGTCAACTAGACTGAATAACATCATCACCACTTGGTTAGACTAATTGGACTTTCATGTACCTCTCTACTGTGTGCCTTTCTAGGGTAAGATGAGCATGTGTGTGTCTATGTTTTGCTCTGTGTGTCCTGTCTTAATCAATAGAGACAGGGGCATCAAATAGAGTTTGCAAACAGAGGAGCTTGAGACTGATCTCAACAAGTATCCTAAAATAGTCTCACTCTTTAATAGCTCTCAGCTGCTGAAGCTTATGGGTCCAGTGTGAATCAGAGCACCATCACTGGTCCAATTATAATGTTGTTGTAAGGCATGATGGGAATGATTTATTTACTGAATTATTTGCTACTTATTTACCAGAGATGCACAACTGGACGTTCATCAAGAATCAAGACAATATATTTATGCCACAACATGCTCTTGGTTTCAGTTTCAGAGTGACACTGCACTCACTCTGAGAGGTCAGAGGTCAAGTGTATGCAGTTAGCAGGGCTCTGCACCATTCAGAACTGAATTAAGTTCTAATTTGAGAATATAAGAATTTTAGAATTGGAATCCAAATTTGAATTTAAGAAAGTGGAATTAAAATGAATTGAAATTCTAAGAAATTCTTATGACCCCATGAAGCGTAATTTTAACTAAAAATGAAGGTTGCTCAACTATGAATATAAGCTTGACAGCCTTTTTTGAAAGTTGTATTTATGTATTTATTATTATTTTATAAAAAAATAAAATAAAAAAGGTTTGCTTTATATGCTTTACCGGTTTATGGACCAGAGTGGAAGACTGCATTTCCCTGAATTACATTATCTGTTGAATTTCTTCTAATTGTAATTCAGCAAATTTCCCGTCAATCCAATTCAAATGTTGATTCAACTTCTTGTGCATTTTTAAATTCTTAGACATCAATTACAAGTAGGCCTTCTCTTCAATTCAGAATTTTGTCCAACCCTGGTTCTTAAAAGAACAGGGATCAACTAGCATTTTTTTAGCGTCCCTTTGGACCACCTTCCCAACTTACACATCAGCATAATGTGAAGGATGCTATGTATAGCTATCTGATAATTGTGATGTGGTAGCATCTGAAAATAGTAAGATAAGCATGCAGATAAGAAGATGCAGCCAGAGATGGCATCATTTTTCTCCCATGTAAATTGGCCGTATGACAGATACATAGCTTGGCTTTTAACCTTTGCCTATGAGGAGGTGTAAAAGAAAACTGGTATCTGAGGTATCAAAGTTAATTTAGGTGCAGAGGAAGAGAAGGATTATGCAGACAAGACATATAGCTGTTACAAGGGACTATCTCTCATCTCAATATGTCCATTGTGTGCTGCATGAGCACTAAATGCTCAAATGCATCAAATGTAGGCCATCACCTATTTTTATGCCTCGGATTTCAGGCTGGGGATTGAATTTAGACATTTGCAATCCCCACCTGTTGGGTTTCCACATATCAGCATGACAGGTCACTAGAAAACTGTCTGTGTTTGTGGTTGCGGTGGTGCTGCAGTCATGACTTTAGAAATGGCCGTTAAGGCCCGCTCACTCCAAAAAAATATATCTATAGTAATAACTACAACTGTAACGTTTTAAAAATCATTCTAATTGTACGAGAATATGGAAACTTTTACCACAACAATAATGATAAAGACACAGAGAAACGATATCATTGGAATCAGAATGATTTTTTTCCAGGTGTTGAATGATTAAAAACATTCACAGCCAATGAGAATCCATCCTGCTTGAGCGTTTAAAGTGGCAGAAGACAGAATGTTGTTATCCATTGGTGTGGACGCTAATATAGTTAACGTTATTGGTGTGAACGGGCCTTTACATGTTGTTGACCGTCCAACTTAGTTATCACTTAAAATTCAACTGGCACCTTAGCACATAGAAAACACTTTGGTTTATGAAGGAAACTGGCAGCTCATGTCATGTACAGATGAACTGTACGTATATCAAGTGCACAGGTGCTATTTTGAGAAATTATCATCTTACCAAAGGCTTGAAAAAGAACATGTAAACATGTTTCAGATGGTTAATACAAAATGTTTTTACATCCACACATAAACCATCATCCTCCGAGTGACTTGGTACACACCTGGTACAGTTCATTGGCACATTTGCGGCAGAGGTTGTGCAGACAGGGCAGAATGACCACAGGTTTCGTGAAGACCTCCATACAGATGGGACAGATGAGTTGTTTCCCCAGCGTCTCCAATGAAGATATATCCAGTGGAAGAGACATGGCTGTGTGCCCTCGCTGACCCCACACTCACTGGAAACTAAGATAGGAGAGTGAAACCACAGCTAGGGAGATGAGACACCACCGTCTTCATGTCTCTGTGCTGTGTGCTTGCCTAATCGCTCGAGGCAGCAGGCAGTCGCTCTGACCCTGTGCTTGAACAGCGCGATGGGGCCTGTGCTGTATGTGTATGTGCATGTGCGAGAGGGGGAAGGTGTCTGGTTTCTCGCTGGCTCACTGGGACACCCCCTACCCTTGATCAGTTGTGCCCATATCAGGCAGTCAGTGGAATGCTGGGAAACAGAGATGATGCCTCATCTCCTGTTACTCCAATCATTCATGTCTTCAGTCTCAAAACAGCCAACAAGTCAATAATGCCAGAACAGTTACAGTATTAGAGGAAAGTAAGGGGTTTATGAAGTGTACGTGAAACCTTTAACACAAAAACATCCACAAGTGTGTACGAGTGCATTTGAGTTGGAAAAAGACAGAGGAAAAAACTGAAAAAGAGTAATTTCTAAATTGTAATTTCACAATTTTACTGTTTTTTACAGTAGCCTATTTTTGACCAAATAATTGAAGTAGTGTACTTAATTAGAAGCTACTTAAAAGAATAGTTGACAACAATAACAATTCAGTCATTATTTTTACTCACCCTCATCCTCCAAACTTGTATGACTTTCTTTATTCTGTAGAACTCTAAAGTTGGTGTTTTGTAGAATGTTTCAACTGTTTTTACCCATACAATGAAAGTCAATGGGGTCCAAAATAACACTTTGAAAAAGGAGAGAGAGAGAAAAAAAACATACTTTTTATCCCTGCAAGTGTTTGAAAAGCAACATTGCCATTTTATTTTGCAGATCATAATTTCCTTTGCACAAATACACACATAAACACAGATACTTTTTTAATAGCTTCCTTCACATTTATTTTACAGCTGTAATTCAGACCAATTATCAACGTTACTTCTCTGACACATTCATGCTACAACAATTTCAGCTGATTTATCCAGAACGCACAAAAGAATTCAGCCATTCTGTACAACAGTCATATTCATTTACACATTCTGAACTATGTAATTTATTAAAAACAAAAATATTGTTTCTCATCACCATGTTTATACTACTTCCTTCATTTTTAACGTGATTCTGTTTAGGTGTTGCATTCACATACAATGCTCCATTCGTTCTCTTATTCTTAGATTGGAAGCAATAGGAAGTCAGATGTTTTTTTATGATCATGAATGAATGAATGAATACAACAAATAAATGGAAAGCAAAACTGGGATAACAAACCAAAAACTGATCAGTAACTGTGTTACAGTGGAGCTTGTGTTGAGAAATAATATTTTGCAAATAAAAAGCGTTACACATTGTAAACAGCTCAGTCTTAGAAATGCTTAGAAACATGATCACTAATAATCTGCCTAATGATTTAGACAAATAAAACACACACACAAAAAAAATATGAGATAAACCTACAGACCTATGAAATATTCACAATGTGATCCTAAACAAATAAAACTACACATTTGGGGTACATTACACAAGTTTTCCATACATCCCGGTTCAAGTGCATGTAAATGAATGTATGCGCAAACAGGGACAGCTATACAGCTAATCCATTTTTATAGAAATTACATATTTAAACACAGAACATACAGTAGAAGATAATGCAGTGATTAAATTAAGATCTCAGTTTCAAACAGCACACACACACAGAAATGAAGGTTTCCTACACTTAAGTCTGTATGTTTATGCTTACTCCTATCAAAAAAATAAAATAAATAAAATAAAAATACGCATGTATTCTGAGAGATCAAAGAAAAGAGAAGATCTAAAAAGTTTGAAAGTGTCAGGGTTCCCAAATTGTTTGAGCAATGACTTTTCCATGACCTTTTCATGCACCCATAATTAATCGATAAGGATTTGTAAAACAACTTTAAAAAAAAAAAAAGATTTTAGCTCATGAAGAGCAATATCCAGTCACTAAAATATTTTAGGGCTGAAGCAAAGCTAGAAAATGTATAGACAATGGATATTTTCATTACTTTTTTTTTTTTTTCCGTGAATGCTCCAGGCTGGAAAGCCCCAATTTTAAACGACTGTGATATTGTCATATATTGTTATCCATGACTGGGAACCCTAAATTATGTATATGAGATGATCAAATCGAGTGAGCATGACCCATTTTAGTCTGAAGGATCACAGAGTTATTCATATTTTCTGGCGTAATAACAGTAATAATACTGTTGATGTGTATTTACTAATATTATGTTGACCTGATTACATTAAACCATGGGACAAGGGAACGAGATCAAATTATGGGTACAATTACAGCCAAAACAAAATACTGTGTCCACGTCTAGAACCAGAGTTGTTTAAATACATTTTCAAAAATGTATCACACTAAAAAGGATACATCAATTAACAATTTTGGGTCAGTGTGAAACTATAGAATCAATTAATAAAAATCACTGATGTTACTGAATTATACGGGAAACAATGTATGCTTTGTGCAGATGAATCCCTTTACCCACAATCCTCCTGTGCTTGTACTGAACCCAGCTGTCTGGGGGATGGGCTTATGCTTTCTGAAACCACAATCCTGAGGAATGCAAACACTCTTTACCTTAGCAAAGCCTTGAGAATACAGAAGGAAATACAAAACACCCGTTCAAGATTAAATAACCCGGCACAAAGGTATGTGTTTGTATTTATCTGACAACCCCAAACTCTGTTCCAGTGATCAATCATACCACTACCACAGTAAGACATGTGGCTGAAATTGAGCACAGCTAAGCACTGCATGATTATATTTGACAGTACATGCCCACCAGATGCCATTAACACGAGAGACAGCTCAGATAAACATACACAACATGACACAGCAATGCGTCCTCAGTGACTACACTACACTGCCTTACTATTTAGAAAAATATAAATGTAACTAACAACTCAAAACCATTTCCTGTTGATGTAATGAAACGCTTTGAACCTTAAGGATTATAACTTACATATAGTGTGATTTCTGCTTAATAAAAATGGCACAGGTCTGTTTGTAAAAAAAAAACAAAAAACACGAAACCAACCCAGGACAATGTTTATAATGCGATTGTGAGGTTTGTGCTAGTGAGAGCCAATCAAATGTATGGAAAGGTCAATAACTGAGTTTGAAAAGTTTATGGTCAGCAAGTTTTTTTTTTTTTTATGCTCACCAAGGCTGCATTTGAACAAAAATTAAGTAAACATATTAACTTTGTGAAATACTGTTAATTAAAATACAATTAAAATAACAGTTTTCTATCTTAATGCATTTTAAAAAGTAATTTATTCCTGTAATGCAAAGCTGAATTTTCAGCATCATTACTCCAGTCTTCAGTGTCACATGATCCTTCACAAATCATTCTAATAAGCTGATTTGCTGCTCAAGCAACATTTTTATTATTATCAGTGTTGAAAACAGTTGTGCTGCTTAATTTTTTTTTGTGTGTGTTTTTAAGGACTGTAGATGAACATAAAGCTCAAAAGAATGACATTTGAAATAGAAATCTTTTGTAACAAATGTCTTTACTGTCACAAATGTCTTTACTGTCACTTCTGATCAATTTAACGCATCCTTTCTAAAAATAAATAAATCAATTACTGACCCCAAACTTTTGAATGGTAGTGTTTGTGTGACAACCTCTACAATTATAAAATTGTAGCCAGCTTCAATAACCATTATGATAGCTGAATACACTAAAGCATACAAAAATAATTCCTTATGTCCTGTGGTTGTCATGCTTCAAATAAGATTGATAAAAATTATTTTCATTGATTATGTAGACAAATGCAGTGTGATAACCAGTGCCAATTGCACAACAAGAGCTGTCGGCAAGATGAAGCTTGAATCATAGCAGGAAGACTGTATGGACACTGTAAGAAAGTCCTTGTGTGTGTGAGTGTGTGTGTGTGTTGAATATAACACCGCAGTAGGTTTGGGGATAATAGAGGTTAAAGGCAAATAAATATAAACTCGCTTCTTGCCCTGTACAGTGGAGCGTTTCAGGTTTTCCAATGATACTGTAACTAACTAACCGCTCATCCTCTTTCCTTTGGATCACCCATTGCCCACCGTGACCTCTTCTGGCATGGTGGTCCCGTGTGTGTGTGTGTGTGTGTGAGAGAGAGAGGGAGGTTTAATAGCTGGCGTCTGTCCGGTAGGTGGTGTGGTGAGAGTCTGCGGTCAGCTGAGTGGTTTCTGTGGCAGAGGACGGCTGCATCACGATGGGGCTGCTGCCATCTGTGGAAACACACACCAGTGTCACGCTGCTTTATAATATGACCAGCTAACAGCTCAAACTCAACCATGTTGCTAAGCATTACAGGCATGATAGTGAGTGTCAGGAAGCCACTTCAAATACTGAACAGACCTTTCACTGGCTAAATAAACAATCTGAAGGCATTTGAACTGTAGTTCTAAGTGAAACTGGCAAAAATATTTGGCAGGACTTGATTTTATTCATTGGGATTTGATTGAAACCAATAATATTATTGACCCACCTGCACGGCCTTAGTTATGTCCGCAGAAAAAGAAACGTTTTCAGATACAGATAAAATGATGACGTTGTGATGAAAGATTATGAAACAATCATTATTCCTTTACAATAACATACACTGAACTGCGCTATTTTTATTGAACTGCGCAGTTTTATTTCCAGATGCATTTCCTATTTAAAAATCAGGAAGTAGGGGAAGTAGGATATATGGAAGGTCTTTAAAAACTAAATAAAACAAACAAACAAACAATCAATAAACTCTTAACAGCATTTAGTTTAATACACACCACCAAACTAGAGATATCACTAATATTACAATTCTGTCTGACACCTGACATGGATAAACTCATAATTATTTTCAAGTTATGACCAGAAACTGATAAGTGGCTGATATTAAGATTGATAATAATTAGTCAAAAAAAAAAAAGAAAAAAAAAAATTCACACACTAGAAACTAAACTCGGTTTTAAATGCTATGATTTCAGGCATCACAACATTTTAATATTAATTCTGATTACATTTAACAGCGTTACTGTAAAAGCAACTGTATAGTTCTTATTTGTCTAAATATTGTTTTTTAATAATTAACATTTAAAAGAAATACAAATTTTTTATTATTTTTATTATAATTTTACATACATTTAAATAACAATAAAGTAAAAAACAATGTGTATTTAGGTTACATATTTTGCATTTCCTGCACAACTGCATTCTTTGCTATATTTTGTTATTTATATGACTAAACACTGAAATAATTTATGATTTATGATGAAATAATTTATGATGATAGAATAATTTATGATGAAAATGTATCGGTAATAAAGAAATTAAGGCATAAAACATTAACATTTTATTTAATCTTTTAAAATATAAACAAATTAAAATGTAACAATTCCAATTTACTTTTTAGCAACAAAATGCTGCACAACAGAGGTTTACAGTTAAAATTAAACCTGAATACTGTAAAACCCTCAATGGAAGCTTAGCAGGCAAGTGTGTAGCACCACAAATAAAGAAATGTGCTGTACCTATCTTTTTACTTATTACTGTTTACAGAGAGAACAAAAAAAACTCTAAAAACTTACAGGAATTACATCAGTAATGCTTGACCAGACATTCATTAAATCATAAACAGTTCAGTTCACCCAGAAATGAAAATTCTGTCATTATTTACTCACCGTCACGTTATTCCAAACCTGTTTGATTTTCTTTCTTCTGTTGAACACAAAAGAAAATAATTTGAAGAATTTGGGTAACCAAACAGTTGCTGGTCCCCACTTACTTCCACAGTATGGAAAAAAACACTATGGAAGTCAGTGGGAATCAAATCTGTTTGGATACCAACATTCATCAAAATATCTTCTTTTGTACAGAAGAGAAAAAAAGCATACAGGTTTGGAACAAACTGAGGGCGAGTAAATGATTTTCATTTTGGGGTGAACTGTCCCTTTAAGTCCCCAAACCATAATTTGCTACTTGCTATTGGTTGTCAGTGGCAGGTAGTATTTGGGGAATAGGACAGTCTCAATCTACAAAACATTTTATTGGACTTCTAGAAGTTTATTACACTACATTTTGTAGCTTATGAATGGTATTAAAAAGTTAACAGACATGGAATAATAGCCACAAAACTTCCATTTTGATTTCATGTCAACATTACCATAATTATTTGACTGTTGTGAATGAAAGTGTGTGTCAGTGTGTCTCACCTCTCTCATCAGACTGCATCTGAGCTTCCAGGTCTTCGGGAGACACATAGAATTCCGGCTCATCTGCCCGAGGAGAATGAGGTTTACACTTCCCACAGCAGCAGTTACAACAGCAGCACAGACAGCAGCAGAAATAACAGCCTGTAGCCACACCGCAGAATATAAACAAGGCCTGTCCAGAGGGTAGAAAAAAAAAAAAAAAAGAGGAATTCAACTTAAATAACATGTACACTAATTTACTATATGCACTACCACCCGAAAGAGTCAGAAGTCTCTTATGCTAACCAAGGTTTTCCCTTTTAATATATTTTAAAATGTAATTTATTCCTGTGATGGCAAAGCTGAATTTTCAGCATCATCACTCCAGTCTCTTTAGTGTCACATGATCCTTCAGAAATCATTCTGATATGCTGATTTGCTGCTCAAGAAACATTTATTATTTTTATCAATGCTAAAAATAAAAACAGTTCTGCGGTTTAATATTTTGTCAAAACTGTCGATGAATAGAAAGTTTAAAAGAACAGAATTTCTTTGAAATAGAAATCTTTTGTAACATTTTAAATGTCTTTACTGTCACTTCTGATAAATGTAATGCATTCTTGCTGAATAGAAGTATTCATTTCTTAAAATCTAACTCCAAACTTTTGAATGGTAGTGTGTCTAACTTAGTATATCTATCTTTTGTGTGTCCTTGTGTGTATGATTAACCTTGGCCCACCAGCTGGACAATACAAAGTATGTGTTAACATTCTCCTCTCCAAACTGTTCTGCCACGTAGAGGCCCAGAGATCCGTATTTGTCATAGATGTTGCGTTTGGTAGGGTCTGACAGAATGGTATGAGCGTTGTTGATTTCTTTGAATTTCTCAACTGCTTCTGGATTGTCAGGATTCTTGTCAGGGTGGAACTTCAGAGCTAGTTTTCTGCAAATCAGAAGAGCAGAAATAATTGAACTTTCTAAAAATGAATGCAATTGGCATCCTTGCCAATCTGCTTTTAGGTGTGTTTATGTTAAACTAGGAGTATGTTGAAAATGGACCCTTTTCACAGACTGTGTTGATGTGTTACCACAGTTATTAACATTGTAAATCAAGCAAGGTTTTTTTTCCCCCCCATGTACATTTATAACACTATACTTTGTTTTATTACATTGGAAAAGTGCCGAACGGGTCTCTGACCAACATAAATCAATCTCTCAATATTTTTTTCCCTCTTTTGGAATGTCATAGAAATGCTAGAATGGATTGTTTTTCTTTTGCTGTTAGAACAAATGGGAATGCAAAAATTATATTTGTTGTAGTTTCCATTCACCCGACTATGACGACTTCCGCTTCTGATAAGGAGAATATCATATTGATATGGTATACTAACTAGCTACTATTATTTAAAAATAGCATGTAAAATACTAATTTACTCAAGTATTATTACACGATAAATGTTGGCAAACGTAATCGGTCATGAGTATTCATGCACAGAGAAAATATACATACTGTTCACATATATAAAACAGCAGTAGTAAGAACAGTATGGCAGAGAGTTTACATGAACATCCAGAGGAAGTGAGGAAAAAAGTTCTGTCGCACCCTAGTGGATTTAATTGGAAACGAAAATGAATAGTTCACCCAAAAATGCCATCATTTAATCACCCTCACTTTCCAAACTTGTATGACTTACTTTCTTCTGTAGAAATGCATACAGGTTTGGAAAGACATGAGGTTGTGTAAATGATGACAGATTTTATTTTTAGGTGAACTATCCCTTTAAGACCTTTTTGAAACTTTATGAATTTTTTGTTTCCACGCATAATCGCTTATAAGTAAAAAAAAAAAAAAAAAGAAATACATAATAGAAGGAAAGAACCCCCACACTGAAAAGATTCTGTGCATTTTCTCCACTATTTTCAATGGCAATGTTGGAAGAATCTTTTTATGTCTCACCTGTAGGATTTCTTTATGTCTTCTGGTGCAGTGTTCTTATCAACTCCCAGGACCACGTATAGTGATTCTCCTGCTGTGGAGAGTGAACGCTGCCTCTGCTGCTCCGCCATTACTCACACACACTCCCCTCACACCACAACTACCTCCTCTGTCTGAAAGAAAAGCAGAGAAACGGGTTATATTTGCTGTATGTACTCCTGCATCTGCTTTTATTCTTGCACTGCTTTTTGTCTGTCTTTTTCACACAGCAGCATAACATACAAAAACATGGAAGCATACACATACTTGCCATCCCAGGGATGTGGCAATAAAATTGAAATGACTTTATTATCATTACACACTATTTCTGTGAATCTAAAACCCATTATCCATACCCTTTAGTGCAGCAAAACACTGAGTACCACCTTTATTACACCAGTGAGAGTCACAGACTCAAATGTCCCTGTTCTGAGTCAGTGCATTAACAGTGTGCACACTCATGCTGAGGTCTGCAGAGGATCCACACAGCTGAAAGAAGTAATGTGACTGTAGCATTCAGGAAACATCTTTTCTTCTGTATTGACAAAGAGTGAAAAATTTAAGGGGGTCTGAATACTTTCCGTACCCACTGTATATGGATTATTATAAAAAATGTAAAAAACATAGGGCGGGGACTTGATTCTATGCATGTTTGTTGATTGGATTTTGAGATGTGGCCATTGCCCTCAAAAGTGGAGGCAGATGAATGTGAGCTCGCAGGGGTAGAGCTTAAGTAAACTGAATTATGGGAGAAGTCCTGCATCCGTCACCAGAGAGAAGTCTTTCGTTTTCACCAGAAGATCAAGTGATTAGGCCTGTCACAATAACAACTTTTTGTTTTGCAATATATTGCCCCAGAAATAATTGCGTTAAGCGATATTATTGTCAAGACACAGGCGCAAGTGGAATGCAAAAAACATGGTGACATTAATTTTTAAGTAAATATAATGGGCAATATATTGCGTCACCAAAAATGATTGAGGTCATGTACATATATTGCGCGATAAGTCGATATATTGATTATTGCGACAGGCCTACAAGTGATTGATGACATTTTGATTAAACATTGCCATGTTTAAAAAAAAAAAAAGTACAAATTAAACATATATGGATTTGTGGATGGATGTGATATGTACAAAATAAGATCCATAATGAGCATTTAGAAAATATCAGGTAAATTTTAATTTCATGCTGACTTTAATGTATAAACTTGAATGTTATGTAATAAAGAGGAAAATCCTAATGTATCAAACAAGCTATCAAATTTATAACAGAGCATGTCCTATTTCTGGCATACTGTATGTACTTTCCCCATCACCAGTGTCATTCAATATGACTATAAAATAATACAAATTATGATTTTTTTTTGTTGGTTATGGTTAATGGTTTTGTGGTGGCATTCATGTGCATTCAACTCATGAATACAATATTTCCGGCATTACTTGAAAGCAACACAAGTAGCAAAAAGAACAACGTTGAGGTTTTTCAAAATTGCAAGCATAAATCTGATTAAGCACAATTAAGCATATTTTCCCCTCTTTAAAAGTTCATTAAGCTCACTTTATGCAGATGGATAAAAGACTGGCTCAGCCAGAGTATTATCTACGTGATTATATGCTGTCAGGTATGTGTTCAAGTGAAAACACATAGAAACAGAGAGGGAGACGACACACAGGGAGGATCAGAAGTTACGACCTCCAGTATGAATCAAAGACAATTAACCCATTAACCCAGAGTAATTCAGGTTAAGACACCTCCACACAAAACGGCTGCCAGGAGAGGAGACATTTCACTGTCACAAGAGGCCAATAAAATAACCAATCATTTGCAAAAAAACACACTTATGACGACTCTTTAAATGAGTACAAACGCCTCTTTTCTTCATGCGAGGAGCTCTTGTGCCGTGGTGAGAGAGAGTTTCGCCTCCTTTCCAGGCTAATCGTGCAGCTTGTTAGCGAGCATTAGCAGATTAGTATTAGCGGAGCATCTGAATAAGTGAAGGGTTATTTCTGTCCCTTCTCAAACCCTGTGCACTTCTTCAACCGGGAGACTCCCATAATTCCTCCAGGTGTGATACACTAATAGAGTGTGTTTGAGTGAGATTTTGTTGGGCTTCTGAATGAATATCTGAATGTCATTGACATTACCTCAGAGTAATCTTTGATGATTTGTGTCAAAACAAATTCAACATCTGCTCAGATGTTAGTGGTGCTTTGTAATATTTACTATTGCTAATGCTTAGGATTTTCAAACCTCTTATTGTTCTTAATAATAATAATAATAATTATTATTATTTTTGTTTACTACTATAAATAATTAGCTATTACTTTTCTAGACAATTACAAATTATAATTTTTGCTTGGCAATAGATTTGCTTAGAGAATCAATCAATCCAATCAATCAATCAATCAATCAATCAATCAATCAATCAATCAATCAATCACACCCTGAAGAAAACACCAGAGTCCAGGGACCACAATATCATAAACTGTATCCAAAATCACATGCTGTCAGAGTATGTACTGCATTTGATGAATTTCTCAGCTGTCAAAAAAAGTGCATTCTGTAAAGTACACTACCAGTCAAAAGTTTGAGGTTAGATTGTGGTGTGTAAGTCTCTTATGTTCACCAAGGCTGCATTTATTTGATTTATTTGATCTAATTTATTCCTGTGATGGTAAAGCTGAATTTTCAGCATCATTACTGCAGTCTTCAGTGTCACATGGTGCTTCAGAAATCATTCTAATATGCTGATTTGCTGCTCAAGAAACATGTATTATTATTATTAGTGTTGAAAAAAGTTGTGCTGCTTAATATTTTTGCTGAAACAGGAAGGGGGAGGGTTCTTTGACGAATACAAAAAAAGACAGCATTTATTTTAAACAGAAATCTGTTGTAACATCATAAATGTCTTTACTGTCACTTTTGATCAATTTAATGTATCCTTGCTGAATAATAGTATTACTTTCTTTAAAAAAATGAATACAATTCTAGCAACATTTAGGTACTTAAAAGCCTCTTTTGACTTGTGAACTAGCAACCCCCCAGCACACTAGCCACCACATCGCAATGTACTAAAAACTACTCGAAACACCTTAGCAACCACATATCAACGCCAAAGAAACCTCCCACAACAACTTGGCATCATGGCAGTATTTTTTTACACAGAGAAACACCACCTACATTAACTGCAAAAAAAACCTATGTAAAAGTTTGTTGCTACAATTTGTATCGAATTAATGTTTTTTTTTAATAATGTGTAATGAGTGTGTGTCTATACTAGCAGACGGACTTTCTGCTTCAGTGGTTCATTAAATGTGATTACTAAGAGTTTTCATCAGGAGCAGGGCTCTGCAATGCAGCCTTATACCAAAACACTACATCCATCTCTCTTGCTCTCTCACACACTCCCTCCCCCCTCCTGTCTCTGCACCACCATATGGTCCGACTAAATCTTTAGTGGCCATCTCAGTCTGTGGACTAGAGACGGCTGTCAAAGTCTCCTCAGCTTAATAATGAACATCGCTGTCCACGTCTTTCCTGTATAGGTTTATTCATCATATCAAGTTCTGTCTGGTCCCTCTGTTTGTGTTCTAACATCCTCCCACGTCACTGTTTGCATCCTCTTTTCTCTGTCTATCCGAGCAGGTGAAGTGATGTGGCTTTTTTGTTATGTGCTGCAGGTTTTAAAAGGTCTGTTTGTAGAGGGATGGAATAGCAGGAGAAAGCGGGGCATGTTTGATGAGAGTCTGTTCACAATGAACAAATACACACACATACAGTAATAGTGCTGACGTACTGTCAACCAAAACTTAAAACAAAACCATAAATAATCATTACTTGAAACAAAATAAAAATTAGGCCTAACTGATATATAAAAAAATTCAACTTATTTTTATTTCAGCTGGTTGGCAAGGCAACATTTCTCATTTTTATTTAAAAGCATAGTAAAAAATTGTCACCCTAATGTTTTTCCAAACCTGTATGAATTTCTTTCTTCTGTTGAACACAAAATAAGATATTTTGAAGAATGTCGGTAACCAGACAGTTGACGGTAGCCATTGACTTCCATTATTTTTATTTTTTTTCTCCATATGGAAGTCAATGGCTACCAGCAAATATTGGGTTTCCCATATTCTTCAAAATATCTTCTGTGTTCAAAAGAAGAAAGAAACTCCTACAGGTTTGGAACAACTTGAGGGTGAGTAAATGATGACAGAATTTTAATTTTTGGTGAACTATCCCTAAAATATCTAAAACTAAATAACCAAACTCAAAAACTATATAGACATTTAAAAAACTAAACTTATAAAACACACAACAACACAACAAAATTAAAATGAAAACAGAAAATATAAAAAGAAAAACTAGTTCAAAATATAAAAAAAAGAAGAAAAAAAAAACCTATAACAGCATAGCATGTCAATGATACTAAAGCAACACTGCCTAAAATAATGTGTTGTTTTTGATTATTGACCAAAAACTAGGAGCTTCAAGAAGCTAGAGACAATTGAACAGATCTGAAGCATCTATCAAAACAACATAAGGAGCAAGGTGGTGCTCAAAAGCCGGAGGGACGGGCACAAAAGATCTCAAAGAACAAGAATAGAGACCAAACAGATGAGGAGTAGTGATGAACGAACAGCTGAGAGCAGTGACATTTTTATGAAGTCACATGGTCTTGTGTTGATGATAAAAACTTTCTTGCTTTTTATAATATCAGATATGAACAAACCAAGATACACAACAAGAATGCCATGGTAACTCTCATGGAAATTTATATTCCATTACAGTCCAGGATTACACAAGTCTAAACACTCATTAGTGTTCATAATTTCATGTCATTGTTGACTTCTGTCATTGTTCTGGTTTCTGTCAGTGTCAGTCCACTACATCCAAATATAGGACTATAAAACACAGTGAACTGATCATTTTCGGCTTCATTATATCATCACTTTTGGCCAATTACTGCAAAATGGTATGAACAACCTGTCTACAAATGTGCTATCAAGAAAAATACTGAAAAACACTGAAATTGGTAGATGAGCTAAGAGTGTCAAACAGAGGAGTGTCAGTCAGCGACAAAGATACTGTGAATATAAAATAAAAACCCACCACAGTTCTGCTAAACAAA